TTTTAACCACTTCAACTCACAACATGTTGGTCGCCATCGATCGATACTCCGCTTCGGCAGATGAGCGAGATACAGTTGTGTTGCTTCTTGGTTTTCCAAGCAACGGGCGAGGTTCCCAGCATTACAAAGTAACCCGTTAGCGAGCGACGAGTGAGTGGACAACTTGCCCAATCAGAATCACAATACGCATACAATCGCAAGTCGTTGTCGGAGCGCAGAAAGATACCTTGCCCGGGGTTTCCTTTTAAGTACCGGACGACTCGTAATGCAGCATCCCAATGATCCACTCTCGGGGTTTGCATAAATTGAGCCAATACATGTACACAATAACTAAGTTCAGGTCTTGTGATTGTCAAGTATATTAACCTTCCCACGAGTCGTCGATATTTCTCCGGATCATTCATGAACGGCTCTTTTGACAAAGCTAATCTATGGTTTTGTTCAATCGGAACAGACACGGGTTTACCGCCTAACAACCCAGTTTCTTTGACAATGTCCAAAGAATATTTACGTTGGCACAAAAAAATTCCTTTCAATCCACGACTCACTTCTATACCGAGAAAGTACTTGAGGACACCAAGATCTTTCATATGAATATGACTGAGAAAAACCGTAATTCTTCAAAGCAGCCGCCAACTTCATGAACCAACATCTCGGAGCCTGCCGCAATCCATAGAGAGATTTTTTCAGTTTACAAACCTTTGTTTGATCCTTAGACGAAAAACCAGGGGGCAATCTCATATAAACCTCTTCATGCAAGTCCCCATGTAAAAATGCATTATTTACATCCATCTGATGAAGTTCCCAATTTTTCGCAGCAGCAATAGCCAAAAACGTTCTCACTGTCACCATCTTCGCTACCGGGGCGAATGTCTCGTTGTAGTCTATCCCTTCTCGCTGATTATTTCCCAGAATCACCAGGCGAGCCTTGTATCTTTCGATTGTTCCATCGGATTTGTATTTGATCTTATACACCCACTTGGACCCTATGGCTTTCTTCCCTGGTGGTAGACGTTCCAATGCCCACGTTTCATTATCCTCCAACGCTTGTATCTCTTTTTGCATAGCCTCTCGCCATTTTGCATCTTTCACCGCAACTGAGAAATGCTTAGGCTCAATTCCTGCATCAATTCTAGCCAAAAGAGCTCGATGGCGCCCAGAAAAATTAGCACAAGTCACATAATTCGCTATGGGATAATGAGTAATACCTGAGGATCCCGTCGAGGAGTTGGGTGCAGTGTGCGTGGGGGTTTGTAAGAATTGAGCACTGTAAGTAACATAATCCTTTAATAGAACAGAAGGCTTGGCTTGGCGGTGTCCCCTACCAAGATTCTCTGTTGGCGACGGTTCTTCCAAAACTTCATTTTTGATGCCATCTTGACGATCTGTTTCCTCAACCTCACAGGTATTGTCTTCGCTCCCCCTAACTTCTACAACATCAAACTCCGATATCCCGACATCATCATCACTTCCTACAATCTCGGCGGATCTAGGGTGTTTGTCGGAAGCACGTTCCAAATCCGCTTCAAAAGGAAATACATTTTCTGAGAATACGACATCGCGCGAGACAAAATATTCACCAGTTTCAACATCATATACTCGCCAACCCTTTTTACCAAAAGGATATCCCACGAAAACACATTTCCTACTTCGTTCGCCGAATTTATCTTTGTCTCGCCCTATGTAATGTGCATAGCAAAGACAACCAAAAACCCGAAAGTATTCATATTGTGGTCCCTTTCCAAACAGAATCTCATATGGTGTTTTGCCTCCAAGAAGTGCAGATGGTGTTCTATTTATCAAAAAACTAGCAGTTAGAACACACTCACCCCAAAACTTTATCGGCAAAGTTGCTTGAAACCTCAACGCTCGTGCAACATTTAAAATATGCCGATGTTTTCTCTCCACCCGACCATTCTGCTGTGGTGTCCCTACACATGAAGTTTGATGCAAAATTCCATGGGTTTTAAAATATGATGCTAAACACATGAATTCTGTCCCATTATCACTACGAACCATTCTGACTTGTTTGTTAAATTGTCGTTCTACCATCACACAAAAGTTTTTAATAGTTTGTCCGACTTCCTTCTTCTCAAGCAATAAATAAACCCACACTGCCCTTGAAAAATCGTCAACAATTGTCAGAAAATAATGAGCACCACAAGACGCAGGTACTCTATAACCACCCCACAAATCACAATGAATCAAAGCAAAACAATCATCAGCTTTATTATCACTTTTGAAAAATACTTCACGAGTTTGTTTAGCACGAAAACAAATATCACATGGTTCGTGGGTCTCACTATTACTACTTTTAATTCTATTCTTAATCGCAGAAATAAATGACAATATTTGATTAGAAGGATGTCCCAATCGTCTATGCCACAACTCCTGCTCACTTAATCCAACGACTTTATTCACTCGTACTGGTGCAAATCCTCGGATATGGTAAACCCCACTGCACTCCTCACCCACTCCAATCAGGGTCCTCGAAGTCCGGTCCTGTATCACACATAAATTATCAGCGAAAGTGACTATGCAATTTAATTCTTTCAACAACTTAGCTACAGATATAAGAGTGCAATTCAAATTTGGAATAAACAGAACATGTTGCAAACAACCGCGGGCTCCCAAAGACAAGTTTCCCTCTCTCGATGCAAGGGTATTCTCCCCGTTAGGAAGTCCGACAGGGCACGGTGTAATTTTACGATCGTCGGACAATATTTTTATATTTCCTGTCATGTGATGTGAGGCACCAGAATCTACAATCCATTCATTAAAATTTTCCTTACCAGACAAACGTTCTCCACCTTTGTTCGAGTTCAAGAGATCCAGTAACGCCGACCATTGATCCTTGTTAAGACCGGGAAATCCAACATTATTCGCTTCAGCTCCCACTCCATGGTGTTGTCCTGTATTTTCAGCTGTAGTGACACGAGCAGCATTAATTCTCACGTTACCTCCTCTCCCGCGTCCCACGGCTCCTCCTCCTTTACTTCGACCACCACCTCTTCCAGTTCCTCGAGGCCTATCTCCCCACCACTCTGGGTATCCAATGATCTGGTAACATTCCGTTGTGTCGTGGCCGGTTCGTCCACAATGTCCACAAGATCCAAGTTTTTCCTTTGTGCGGACAGCAGCTGCTCTTGCAACTGAGCATGTTTGTGCTGAAAAACCCACCACATCACCTCGGTCATCCTTACTTCGTGCGAAGTTGCGATGTCGCTCTTCCTGAATGATTATTGAGTATGTCCTATTCATGTTCGGTAGCGGCTCCATACTCAATATATTTGAACGCACGGTCCCATATATTGCATCGTCGAGCCCCATCAAGAATTGATGAACTTTCTCTTCTTCCTTTTTTTTTTCAAGCGCAGCGGAAATATCACATTTGCAGCCGCTACAATGACACACGGGTATCGGCTCATAGTTCACCAACTCGTCCCACATCATCTTTATCTTACCGTAGTACGCCATCACCGGCTGCCCGCGTTGCTTACACGCAGCCAAGTCCGACTTCAGTTGATGAACACGTGGTCCATTACCAATTGAGAACCTTTGACGCAGGTCCTCCCACAAATCTTTGACGTTTTCCATGTACGTCACGGTAGACCGCAGTGATGGCTCAATTGTATTGATAATCCATGCAACTAGCATGGAATTCACCATCCACCAGTCTTCCATCTCTATTGAGTCCTCGGGGGGTTTGCTCAACGTTCCGTCAATGAATCCAAGCTTCTTCTTTGCTCGAAGCGCGTTCCGCATCGATCTCGCCCATTCTTCATAATTTTCACCTTTCAATTGAACGGGTGAAATAAGCGATCCAGGATTATCCGAAGGATGCAAAGAATAAGGCGAGACTACAGTTGGTCCTCTCCCAGAACCTTGTGCAGCTACCTTCTTCTCATCGTCAACACCTGTCATGGTGGTTCTTCAAAAATTCAGCGATACTTTTTTTTTTTTTTTTTTTTATGATGGCTCTGATGCCAAGAGAAAATATATTAGAGAAGATTTTAATCTGTCTTTTATTTCTTGAACCGTGCTTTGTATTTATACAGACGCAGGGAGAAATCCTAACTTAAGAAGAGTCCTACAACTACAAAACCCACTGTATCTCACAACTCTTCTTAACCTATACTACGTAACACATATATATATATATATATATATATATATATATATATATATATATATATATATATATATCTCAATAAACACCTTTAACGACGACGCCGCCTTTCGCAGGAGGCGATGTGGCAGCTCCGCCAAACCCTTGCAGTTTACGATAGTCAACTCCGCCAGACAAGGCATTAACATGACGCCACCGGAATATTCTTCTTCTTCGTCTTCAGGCGTAATGTTCTCCCACTCCTTCCACTTAGAACAGTTGTAGAATTTCAGTGCATGCAGCTTGGGAAACCCATTCGTGCAAGTCTTCGACGAAGATTCTTCTTTACTATGAATACCTCGTGTTGCTGCTGTTGTTGTTGTTGTTATTGTTATTGTTGTTGTTGTTGTTATTCCCAGGAATTCGCGTCCAACAAATTGCAATTCAGAATTGGTCCAGATCTCAAAATTCTCCAGGAGCGGTAGTTTACCCAGAGACGGAAGCGATGAAAGGAACTCGCAACGGCCGAGTTTGATAGATCTGAGTTGGTTGAGAGGCGACGCAATCCATCTCGGAAACCGCGAGCCCTTATAGTGCCAAATTTCCAGATTTTTCAGGTTTGAATTTGGCTCAAGAGCCTCTACTAAACCCATCCATATCGATTCGGCCTTAACTTCACCGGTAGATCCGGAAAAATGTATTTGGAGATTCCGGATGTGCATCTTTTTCCTCAATTCCGCTTTACGAGCATCGTCAACCACCTCTTCTAGTGAATCGACACTTAATTCGATCGTCAGTTTAAGGGACCCGCTAAGTCGGTTTAAATTCTTCAACCATCCTAACTTGCTCCCATTACAACGAAGGAATTTTTTCAACGTGACAAGATTGGTTAACTCGGCTAGTCCTTGTTGAAATTGCCTTGGAGAATCGATACCATAGTTGTAGAGGTGTTTGAGTTTTACGAGCTTGTTGATCTCTTGGGGTAGCCCAGAAAGACTCGTACACCCTTCAACGTTCAAGCTTTCTAATTCGCGCAAACCGCAAATGCTCTCCGGCAACTCTTTTAGAAGTTTATTGTGGCTCAAGTCCAAGTGTATCAACTGAATCAAATTCCCGATTTCCTGAGGAATCTCTTGTAGCTCACATCGGTCGACACTAAGAAATTGCAAGCTATACAACTTACAAATGGTTTTGAGATCTTCGGCAGAAATTTTATTATTGCCCAAATTCAAGTGTATCAAGTGAATCAAATTCCCAAGTGTATGCGGAATCTCTTGTAGCTCGCACCGGTCCATCCATAGAAATTGTAAGTTATACAACTTACAAATATTTTTAAAATTTTCATTGGAGATTTTATTACGACCCAAGTCCAACCACCTCAAGTGAATCAACTTTTCTATTTCTTTTGGAATACTTTTCAAGCCACATTCCCTGAGGCTTAGCAACCTCAGACTTGTGAGACAATCACAAATATGTGGATCAACAAGTTCTTTGTAGCGAAATAAGCTACGATACTCTTTGACATGGGAAACTAACAAAGGGCTACATGTTTGGCAACTTATTTTCTTCATTAATCCGCCATTCTTTTTAATAAGGAATCTAGCAAAATCGTGTATTATGTCATGCATCCTAAACGAGTCTATTTGCTCATGCAAATCACATTTCACAAAGTCTTGAAACAGAGAACGCGTTGCTAACTTATCAAAGTACTCTCTTCCTCTAGCTTTCCAGTCATCAGTTTCACCATTACTCCGACTTGATCCTAAATAACCCATTGCCATCCATCTTCTAATTAAGCTCTCAACACCAATAAGGGTATCTTTGGGAAAGACCGCACAATATGAGAAGCAACGCTTAAGTATTGGGGACAATTCGTTATAACTCATAAGCAAATGGGGAAAGAGGTCAACTTCTACTTCCTCCAACTCCCATATTTCACTATGCAATACAGTCTCCCAGTCTTCCAATGTATTTTTAAAACGCAAAAGACTTCCCAAAGCCCTCGCGGCAAGTGGCAATCCATTGCACTTCTTAGCAATATTCTTACCTATGTTATGGAATTTTTCACATTCCTCTTTATTCTTTCCAAAAAAGGCTATCCGGCTTAATAATAACCAACAATCTTCATGAGAGAGATGTCCTAGATGATGGATCTCGTTTTCAACGGTTCCCATCATTAATGCAACCCTCTTGTTTCTGGTAGTCACCAAAATTTTACTACCCGCTCCACCACATTTAAGACAAGTTTTCAGGGACTCCCACTTTGTATAGTCTTCTGTCCAAACATCATCCAGGATAAGAAGAAACTTTTTCCCTGAAATACTCACCTTCAGAAATTGTAGTACCATTTCCAATCGGTTGTTATTTGGGCACTTCTCCCTTTTCACGCTCTCCACAATTCCTTTGGCAATCTCAACCTCGTCAAAGGGATCTGAAACGCATATCCAAATTCTTAATTCAAAACAATTCTCAACTCGACTATCGTTGTAAGCTAGTTTAGCAAGAGTTGTCTTCCCAAGTCCCCCAACACCCACTATAGACAGAACACCGTACCGACGCCTAAGTCTTCTTCAATACCACCTTCACCCACAAGTTTCCTCACCAAATCTTCTCTCTCTAAGTCGCGGCCACAAATTTCCTCCAAGTCAATCAAAGAAGTAGACTGAACTCTCCGCGATTCGAAGGAATGATCTGCAGGTTGAGAGGCCACAAAACCAAATCGATCTTTCTCCACCACAATTAGATCGAGCCGTGCTTTCACTTGTTTTATTTTCAACGCAATATCATGACGAGTAATAGCTTTCTTGAAAAATAAACTCGGAGATTGGATTAAGGACCATACCTTTTGTTCCCTCTTATGAAGTTTGATAATGGAAATGTTCCATTCATCCAACACATCGTCCATTTCATACGACATGTCTTCGAGCCTACGAAGCCAATCTTTGACGCTTTTGTCCTTATAACCCTTCTTCTCCGCATCATCCAACACGTTTCTAACTGTGCTCAGCTCGTCGGAAAGTTTGAGAATCTCATTCTCAACGCCTCTCGCTAAATTTACTCGGTTTCGGATCTGCTCTTCTAACGTATAGCTGCAAGCCGCTCCACCACAACGGTGACGATAGCGTCCGCCATATTATGATCACTAACAACACTTATATCTTCCTAATTTCTGTGTATATATTTCGTTTGTAGCGAAAATCTTCCTTTCTGATGGTGTTTATTAATAATTGATTTGGGTGAGAAGATATAAAATAAACGGACACAAGTTCTTTGATTGTCAATTTCCATGCATGTTCCACTTTAAGTAAATTGCACGGCGGCATGTGGGTGGGATTTGGTCAAACTTTTGAATTTTGTTTACATTTTATTTTCATATAAAGTAGAACCTCGATAAATTAATAACTTCACTTAATTAATAATTTTTTTTGGTTTTGATTCGGTAAAAATGTGTTAAATTATTAGTTCGGTATTTTAATATTTTGTTAAATTAATAGAATTTGTTATACTCAACTGTATTAATTTCTAAAGGTTTAACTGTATTTCCAATTAAATAATAAATCTATAAATTTAGGATCATATTCAATTCAACGAAAAAGTAAAGTTCTTCTTAATCTTTGATGCATCTTATCTAGGGGTGGAAATCGGTACTGATAGGATCGGAATTAGTACTTTGGAATTCTTTTAGGAAATGAGAAACTAATTCCATTTCCGTTAAAAAAAATTGGAAAATTTTGAAAATTGGAATTAAAAAAACTCGTTCTAAAATCGGAAATTTTCATATCGGAATCGGCGAAATTCAAAAAATTTCCGATTTATTATTAACTTAAAATATAAAAATGCATAAAAATACTGATATTAGGCAATCACAAAGATGTGGATCGGGTTAAGTTCTTCGTGGTGAAATAAGCTACGGTATTCTTGAACACGGGCAACTAACAGATGGTCACATGTTAGGCACCTTTTTTTCTTTGTTCTTGATCCCACATTCTTTCTTACGAATTGGGCAAAATCATGTAATATATCGTGCATCTTGAATGATTCTATTTGTTGATCGTCCGATCCAGAACCTCTCGCAAAGTTTTGAAATAGAGAACAACGCGTTGCTAACTTATCAAAGCTCGACTTCTACTTCCTCCAACTTCCATATTTCACTATTCAATACGCTCTCCCACTGTATTCTTGAAACGCAAAAAACTTCCAATGTCTTTGCCGCAAGTGGCAACCCCTTGCACTTATTAGCTATACGCTTCCCTATGTCCCGGAACTTTTCACATTCCTCCTTATCCTTCCCATGAAGGGCTATCCGACCTAATAGTAACCCACACTCTTTGTGGGAGAGATGTCCTAAGTTAAGGATCTCATTCTTAAAGGTTCCCATCGGTATTGCAACCCTTTCGTTTCTAGTTGTCACCAAGATTTTACTACCCACTCCACTACGTTTGAGAGAATTTTTCAGGGGTTCCCATTTAGTATCGTCTTCTTTCCAAACATCATCAAGGACAGTGAGATTTTTTTTCCCTGAAATAGACCCTCTTAGATCAAGCCGTGTTTTCACTTCTTTGATTTTCAAGGCAATATCGCGGCGCGTAGCAACTTTCTTGAAACATAAACACGAGGAAGGGATGCAAGAGCGTACCTTGTACTTTAATTTGCCGGAACACCATTAGCATTATTGGATTGTTCGATCTCAAGTTTGAGAACGGCCATGTTCCATTCATCCAACACGTATGTCGGCCATTTCGTAAATCGTGCAAACTTAAGGGGTGAAAACTGTAATTTTCCCAAACATTTACTATGGTAAACAGTTGCAGCTTCCAGGTTTCAAATACCATTTCTTGGTATAAAAACGTGTTGACTTCTTCTTGGGGCAGTTAGTTGGAATCTTCTCCAACAAATAGTTGACTATAAATAGATTTAAAATATCAATCAAAGTAAATCATTATTACATAATTAGATCAAAGTCAACTTCATAAAACAATAAAAATAACTTAATTATTGGACGTGGAAAATGCAGTAGCATAATTTCCTTTTTTTCCTTTTTTAATAGTCAAAGAATACGTCAACCAGGTTTAAAAATTAAAGCCCGCATGGGTGTAGCTCAACTGGTTCTGGAGGTGGTAAGTTGGTGCAAGGTCCTAGGATCGAATCCTGGCAGCCGCAGTGTGGGAATTTCAACTCCAATGAGGGTTGGTTCCTTGTGGGCACCAGGTCCGGGTCCGCTACCTTAACGGGCCGTTGAGTTACCATGATTTACATTCCTCCATCAATCCTCGTCGGGCCAAGGGATGGGGGCCCTGGGGGCGAGGGATTTCGCCTTTTGGTGCAAGGTTTAAAAATTAAAAATCTCATAATTCATATCCTAAATTTTCTCGATTTTGAAACATTAAATTTTTTTTTTTTTTTGAATGATTAAAATTCCGATTTTCAACTTTTCCAGATTTTTGGGTTGATTTATAATCGTAAATTTGTTATGTATTTTATATAATAGATGACTGAAGAAAATTACGATTTGGGAACAATTTCCGAAATCCCCGTCTCCGATTTCTGAATTTTTATTTTGGGAATAATATTTTGAAACAATTTTTCTATGGCTTTATATGTTTTCCAAAAGGGAAGTAATTTATAAATTTCTTATATTCAGTTTTATTTTATAAACTATTTTTTATTCTAAATTTATACTCTTTTAAATTATTATTTTTTATCAACAAATTAAATTTAATTAGATTAATCTTTATATTGCAGATGAAATCATAAACAAATAATTAGTTCCGAAATATTGAAAACTATTAAATATGTCAAATTAAGAAAGGAAAATTAAACAATACAAACTAACATTTTCTTGAGAATTTGCTTTTTTTTACTGATATTCAGTCACAAACATGTGGAACAAAACGACATTTAAATTGGGACGAAAGAAGTATATTTTGACGCAAACTGACATAACTTCTTCTAGAAAACTCCAAATGATGCACCGTTTCCGATGAAAACAATACAGACAATTTTCGAATACAATCGCTTAAAAGTTCATCCCCGGAAAAAAAAACATACATAATTTAATTAGAAACTGAATCGAAAAACACATTCCGCATGCATGCATGCAAGCAAGCTTTCTTGTTTTTCCGCAACTTCATTAACCGCGGCGCGCTTTTTAACTCGTGGAAGCGGCGGCCACAATATGGAAACCGTATCGATTTTTCTCCGCCAAAACCGCATCGAGTTTCGCTTCCACATTCTTGATTTTCTTTGCCGTATCATGTTTATTCTTGATATGCAAGGGAGAAGAAAAGGACAATCCCTTGTGCTTATGATCACCGTCGCTTTTCGTATTCGCCGAATCCCATTCTTCCAACACTAGTTTCATTTCACAATAAGTTTCTTCGAGCTTCTTCAACCACTCGTTGACCTTTTTGTCCTCGAACGGCCCCTTCTTCTCCGCATCTTCCAATATCTCCCGAACTTTGTTCAGATCGTTCGACAGTTTGACTATTTCCTTGTCAACACTTCTCACCGAATGTACTTGTTTTCGGATCTGATCTCCGACGATATTTGTCACCTGCTTCACAACAGCGGATACGATCGCATTTTCCATGATCGATTGAATCGATCAATCACTCGAAATTTTCTTAGTATTATTTATGAATGTATGGTAAAGTTATTGCAGGAGAGCAGATATATATAAAGTTATTGCAGGATCATCTTATTTACAAAAGTTTTTTTTTTTTTTATTGTTGTAGAGAACGTGCATGCATCATGCACTTATAGAGGAAGTCAACTCGACGACTTGGTGAACATACACAAAGTCTTCTAATTATTTTCCCTTTTTTCGGAAAAAATAAAATTTAGTGATGTATGCATCAAGAAATAGTCCTAGTCATGGTAAATTAGGTGGAAGTAAAGAATTCTCGATAGCTATAAGGACAGACGGATTTTGTTTTTTGATAAAAGTTCTTATGTGCTTTTTCGCTCTAGATATGACGCTAGATCTGGAGTCTCTCTAACGGAATAACATAGAAAAACTAACAGTAACGGGGATGCGGTGATTTGCACAACTAAGTTATATTAATATGCAACAACTTAGTTATATTAATAAACAACAACTTAGTTAAAACAAAAAACTAAAAAAAGAATAGATGAAAATTATACAAACACAACTCCAAATGATGCACCGTTTTCGATGAAAATTATTAAGACACAACTTTCAAAAATAATCGCTTAAAGGTAATCCCACAGGGAAAATTATAGTTTGCATCCCTCAAGTTTGTAAGCATTTCACATTTGGTCTCCATGTTTATAAAAAACTTATTTGGTCCCTCGTGTTTCAAAAATTTAACACTTTTGGTCATTTTTATCAATTTACCATTAGTCCGTCAGTTAAGGCAGGGATAAGCACGCACTTGATTCCGTTAGTACTAACGGAAATTTGACGGAAAGGACTAAAAGTGTTTTATTTTTGAAAGACGAGGGCCCAAATGTGTCTTTTATGAACATGTGGGACCAAATGTGAAATACGTACAAACTTGAGGGATACAAAATGTAATTTTCCCGAATAAATACATACATAATTTAAATAGAAAATGAATCGAAAAACACACTCTGCAGACATGCATGCAAGCTTTCTTGTTTATGCAACTTCATTAATCGTGACGCGCCTTTTAAATCGTGGAATTAAGCGGCGGCCACAATATGGAAACCGTATCGATTTTTCTCCGCCAAAATCGCATCGAGTTTCGCTTCCACAATCTTGATTTTCTTTGCCATATCGTGACGATCCTTGATATGCAAGGGAGAAGCCGGGATAAAGGACAAGTGCTTGTGATGATGGTCGTCGCCTTTCGTAGCATCCCATTCTTCCAACACTTGTTTCATTTCGCAATAAGTTTCTTCGAGCTTCTCCAACCAATCTTTGACCATTTTGTCCTCGAACGGCCCCTTCTTCTCCGCATCTTCCAATATCTCTCGAACTTTGTTCAGGTCGTTCGACAGTTTGACAATTTCCTTGTCGACGCCTTTCAACGAATGTACCTCCTTTCGGATCTGATCTCCGATGACTTCTGTCGCCACCTTCATAACAGCGGACGCAATAGTACTTTCCAATTTCGATCCTTCCATCGCTTGAATGTTTTCTTAGTATGTATTATATATCTATGTATATATGTATGTATATAATTGTGTTTATACTAAGTGGGCATGGAGAGCAGATTTATATAAAGTTATTGCCGGAGCAAATTTTGTAAAAAAGAATTTTTTTTTACTTGTACAAGAGAACGTGCACGCATCATGCATTTAATTATAGAAGAATTAAGTCAACTCGACACAAAGTCTTGGTCTTTTATTCTAAGATTTCTCAGACGCACAAAAACAGGTGTCTCCAGCTCCGAAAAACATACGAATTTCACCGATTTTGATCCAAATATTTTCGACTTTGGAATTACTTTTTCGTTTTGAATATTTTTTACATTCCAGTTTCTAATTGGAATCAATTTTTTCACTTCCGACTTTTTTTTTTCTCTCAAAATGTTGAATTTGATTTAGGCCGTCTGATTTTCACCTTAACAAGAATTATTAGCCTAGTTATAATTATTAGTGTTGCTCAAACAAAAAAAAAAGTTGTCTAATTTTAAGGATCGAAATCGGGAAAAAAATACATTTTCAGTCCTTCAAGTTTACTTCAATTCCACATTTGGTCCCTCTTGTTCGCAAAAAGATAGAATTAGTCCCTCATGTTTCAACGATTTAACACTTTTGATCATTTACGTCAACTTGCCGTTACTACGTCAGTTAATGACACAATTCTGTTAGTGCTAAAGAAAAATAGACCGAAATTATCAAAAGTGTTTAAAATTTTAAAATATGAGGGACTAAATCTGTTCTTTTTCAAAATAAAGAGGATCAAATGTGAAATCCAGGTAAACTTAATGGACCAAAGATCCAATTCCAATGTCTATAATTCGTCCCAAAAAAAAAAAACAGATATATCTATAATTCCAAAAGTGTTCAAATTTACTCCAATAGAATTAAGCAAGCATTCTATTTTAATCATCATCTTTCACTATTACTATTACTATCATATTTGTGACCATAATTTGATAGCAAGGAACAAGAAAACATAAAACAAAACAGACTCAGAAAGATCTCAAATAAACCTAAAAACATCAAATATTTAAACAGAATGTATAAATTAAACCAAATACAACAATATTCCCACAAAAAAATCCAATCCCGGAACCAACTAACAAAAGGAAAATCAATTAAAAATAAATAAAAAATTGAAGATTGTAACAGCAATCTAACTATAATACAGAGCATCTATTTTTTCTCTACCTTAATCAGGAAGATAATGAGTGCCATCTTTTAGGAGGTGAAGGTGTGGATTGTGGCTGGATATGGATTTCCAGGGTTGACCGTTTTCGTCCCCGTAAAGTTGTAGTAGCTGCATCGAACCCCAGATATTCATCACCTTCAAAGACGCCGCCTTCTTTAGGAGGCGTACCGGCAGCTCGGCCAAGCCACTGCAGCCCAATATCTCCAACTTTCTCAGGCAAGGCATTATCGGCACGTCACCAAAATCTTCGTCTTCTTCCACGGTAATATCCTCCCACTCCTTCCATTTCGGACATTGCCAAATCATCAGTTTCTTCAGCTTGGGAAAAAACCCTGATCTTGTTGTTGTTGTTGTTGTTGTTGTTGTTGTTGTTGTTGTTGTTGTTGTTGTTGTTGTTATTCCCAAGAATTCCCGCCCAACAAATTCCAATTTAAAAAATTTACTAATCTCAAGATTCTCTAGTAGCGGCAGTTTACCAAGCGGCGGGAGCCACAAAAGGGACGGACACCTGGAGAGCCTTATAGACATGACTTGGTTGAGTGGCGACACAATCCATCTCGGTAGTAGCGAGCCGTCGTAGTAACACATACTAAGTTTTTGCGTGTTTGGATGTGGCTCGAGAGCATCTAATATATCCACCCACACCGATTCATTAACTTCTTCACCATCTATTCTCGATCCGCAAAAGTTTATTCCCAAGTCTTGAATGCGCGTCTTTTTCCCCAACTCCGCTTCACGAGCATCCTCCACCGCCGCCATCGCTTCTTTCGAATCACCAATACTTGCTACGATCCTCAATTCCACTTGCCCCCCAAGTCGGTTTAACTTCTTCAACCACCCCAACTTACTCCCATCTTGAACATGAAATTGTTTCAACGTAACAAGACGGGTTAACTCGGCTACTCCTTGAGGATATTGCTCCAGACGATCGGTGCCAAAATTGCACAGGTGTCTCAGGTTTACGAGTCTATGCATCCCTTGAGGAAGTCGAACAAGACTTATGCAATTATAAACGTTCAAGCTTTCTAATTCAAGCATATCGCATAGGCTATCGGGCAACTCTACAAATTCGTTATTGCTCAAGTCAAGGTGTATCATATGAATCAAATCCCTAATTTCCGAGGGAATCTCTTTTAACCGGCACCCGTCCAACCAAAGAAACCGCAAGTTGTAAAGCTTACAAATGCCCTTGAGATCACGTTCGTCGAGAAACTTATTACAACCCAAGTCCAACGACCTCAAGTGAATCAACTTTTCTACTTGTTTCGGAATACCTCTCAAGCAACAATCCCTTAGGCTTAGCAACCTCAGGCTTGTAAATCCATCGCAAAAATGTGGGTCCGCATCAAGAAGAGGATGTTTGCGGTGGAATAAGCTATGATATACTCTCACTTGGGAAACTAACACGGGGCCACATTCACGGCAAGTTGTTCTCTTTATTCTTGATCCAACATTCTTCCTGAGGAATCGAGCAAAATCATGTAACATATCGTGCATCTTGAATGATTTTATGTGCTCGCATGAATAATCTTTATCTAAGTCTTGAAACGAATAGCCCTTATCGAAGTTTTGAAACAGACAACGCGCTGCTAAAATATCAAAGTACTCTCTCCCTCTAACTTCCCAGTCACCGGCCTTCGATCCTAGGTAACCCAGTGCCATCCATTCTGTTATTAGTTTCTCCACATCAATTCTGGTATCTTTAGGAAAGACACCACAATACGAGAAGCAACGCTTAAGTGCCGGAGACAATTCGTTGTAGCTCAGAAGCAAATAAGGGAAAAGCTCGACTTCTGCTTCCTCCAACTCCCATATTTCACTATTCAATACGCTCTCCCACTCTTCCACTGTATTCTTGAAACGCAAAAGACCCCCCAAAATCTTTACCGCAAGCGGCAACCCCTTGCACTTATTGGCTATCTCCTTACCTATCTTCTCGAATTTTTCACGTTCCTTCTCGTCATTTCCACAAAGGGCAATCCGACGTAATAATAACCAACACTCCTCGTGGGAAAGATGTCCCAAACGGCGAATCTCATTCTCAAACCCTCCCATGATAGATGCAACGCCTTCGTTTCTAGTTGTCACCAAAACTTTGCTCCCCGCTCCACCAATTCTAAGACAAATTTTCACGGGCTCCCACATCGTACCGTCTTTCGTCCAAACATCATCCAGGATAATAAGAAACTTTCTCCGTGAAACGACCTCTTTCAGACGGTCTAGTACCAATTCCAATTGGTTGGGATATGCTTTTCTCCCCCTTGCTCCCTCGATAATTGCACTCGCAATCCCAACCTCATCAAAAGAATTCGAAACACAAATCCAAATCCTCAATTCGAAACAATTCTTTACTCGACTATCGTTGTAAGCTAGTTTAGCAAGAGTCGTCTTACCAAGTCCCCCCACACCCACTATAGAGACAACTTGGAGGCCTAATTCTTCACCTACAAGTTTCCTCACCAGATTTTCTCTCTCTAAATCTCGGCCACAAACTTCGTCCAACTCTATCAAAGAAGTAGACTGAACTTCACTATGAGAAGGATCGGACGGTTGCGATGCGACCGCAAAACCATACCGATCCTTCTCCTCCAGAATTATGTCGAACCGCGCTTTCACTTGTTCGATTTTCGAGGCAATCTCACGACGTACGACAACTTTCATAAAATATAAATACGATGAAACGATGTAGGAGTGTACCTTGTGCTTCGAATGTTCGAGAATGGCTATATTCCATACGTCCAACACGTCGTCCATTTCGTAGGCGGTTTCTTCGAGCCTCGTCAGCCATTTTTTGACGATTATGTCCTTGTAACCCTTCTTCTCCGCATCATGCAACACGTGTCTGAGTGTGTTCAGATCGTCGGAAAGTTTCAGAATCTCACTCTCAACGCCGCTAACCAAATTTACTCCGTTTCGCATCTGCTCTTTTAAGGTAGCTGCAATCCGCTCCACCACAACGGAAACTATTGCATCCGCCATTATCGATCTCTAACAGTTTTTTTTTTTCTTTCTTTCTTTTTTCTAAATTCTGTGTGTATGTATATTTTGATCGATAATTGATTTGGTGGAGATATATGCAGAAAGGTAAACAAAGACTTGTCCGAACGGTGGACCGTGGACACTGTTTTGTGGTGGTGATTTTCCATGTCCCTACTTTTTGCCTTTGAAGTCAAAAATTGCAGGCCGCCTTCTGGTCAAAATTTCAAATTTTGTTTTGTTTGCATTTTATTGCTCAGGGAAATTACACTTTTGGTCTCTTATGTTTGGTTTAATTACACTTTTGGTCCTTGTTATTTCGAAATGAACAAAGTTCACCTCTAAGGTTCAATTTTAAACACTTTTGGTCTACACCGTTACATGTCCCAAAAAAATTTAAAATTTCAATTTTCGCCCCAAAATAGCGTTTTCCGTTACTTGCCAACGGACATGTAACTGTGTGGACCAAAAGTGTTTAAAATCGAACCTTGAAGGTGAACTTTATTCACTTTGAACAACGGTGACCAAAAGTGGAATCGAGCCAAACATGAGGGACCAAAAGTTTAATTCTCCTGCTTAGATTTATTTTCAGTTTTAGAAAATAGGGTAAATTACACATATACCCTAAAGGTATGCTAAAATAACTTTACGGTTCATGTGGTATTAGTAATTACAATCATACCACTGCAGCAATTACCGGAGCCAATATTTCATGTTCTGGGGACCGATATGCTTATACTTGTTTTCCGCGGGTCCATTAACGCTACCATAGACAAAAATTTATAAATATTATCTAAAATAATAAGGATTTAAAAAATATTGGGATGGAATATCACCTCCTAACTTTATGTTGTCTCCACTACTTCCTGAAAATAATAGTTCGTTAGAACCCTAACAAAATAACTTATCAAATGCATTATTCCGTTTCGATTTCTAACACTGTTTCAGGGGATCATTGTAATTATCATACAACGGGGATCTTAAAATTATTTTAACATATATGAGGGGTGTAGATGGAATTTACCCTAAAAAATAAATAAATATATATAGAGTATCATATTAGTTCAGCAACAAACATATAAATATTAACTAACTGATAATGAATAATTGTACTATTTCATGCAATTAGTTTTTTTTATTATAAATTAATTAACAATTAATAAATATTATTTGCAATAAAAATAAACATTTTCTTAAGAAAGGTTAAATTATGAAAAAAAATCATCTCATATTTGGGTAATTATAAACTACCTCCATCAACTATGAATCTTCTTGTACGTTCACTCTTCCGGTTTCAAATTTAGTGGAATCTTCTAAATTATGTGGAATATTCTCCAGTACCTGTTTTACCTCATTCGAGCTCCACATTTTGAAACAAAATGATCAAAAGATGTGTCACTTAAGTTGTAAATATCAGATTGTGGTGCACAAACTAGAGAACATTCCACAAAATCGAGAAGATTATATTGAATTTGACATCATAAGAGTAGATGTGTAAGAGGACTCATAGTTGGGGGGTGTTTGTAAGTAATTATTGAAACAAGAGGGATTTTTTCGTAATTTGAACTTTATTATTTAAGAAAATAACATTAAATAATATTTTAAAAGTGACAGCTCAAAAAGTCCTCTAAATGCTGTTTTAGCATTGCAAAGTTGCATAGAAGAATACACAATAGTGTGTGCTAAGTAAAAAAGGAGAACACACATTGAAAGGTTTATTTTTGAACTGTTGCAATATGAAAAAATAAATAAAATAAAATGAATTATGTTGAAAAGTTATTTTGAAAAAGAAAAACAGAACCAAAATTTTGAAATACAACTGACATTTCCAAAGAAACACCCCCACATAATTGATTGACAGTGTTTTACCATTTAGCTTGTGTGTGTGTGTGTGTGTTTTGCAGTAAAACAAAAATAAACAAGACTCACATAAAAGAAAGGCGGCGAAAGCTACAAATCAACGATCACGTTTTATTTCTTTCTTCTAGTATAGACCAGAGAATCCGACCCGCTGATTCTGTAGCGGACTTAGGATTGCGAGGTACAACCTTAATCACTTCTACACTCTGCTCATCACGTTGTTCCTTTATCGTCGGAATCGAGGGCAGACTCTGACCAAGTATATCAAAGTTAGCATCAAGTTTCGATGCGTTTTTATCAGATCCAATAAAAGGAATAGTTTGCTCGGCTTTCAGATTCGGGCTAACTGGTTCGATCAATGGCATTGTATATTGTTGGAGATAACTCGGAACGTAATTTCCGAAAACGGGACCCACAATAATTGGCTTGTAGATTAGTCCCTCGGAAGGAGATTTTGCGGGAACTAACCATTGATTTGAAGGTGAATGCGAATACCAAGGTGGTGGCAACTTATTCATTACAGACTCTGCTCCACAATTCTTGTCGGAATTTAAGGTTTCGAATTTGCGTTTAGTGGCATGTGGCGATGGATCAAGAGAAGATGTATAGAGCGGATTGTTTGTTTGAGAAGATTCGCTTGATGGTTTGGTGACGTCGAAGTTTTTTTCGTGTAACAATTCGGGTGATTCTGCTATGAGTCTTTGTACCTGTAATTGGTTTAAACCAAAATAAGACTCATCCAATTTTAATTTTGAAACTCACATAATTTCATTGTTTAATGTAAACTTTACCTTAATCAGTCGATGTAACTCGGATAACTGCATAGAAAATATTCTCTGATGACTGCAAGAAATTGGAAGAAAAGAAAAGAGTATAATTAAGACTAAAACATAAGATATTTTCTAGAAGAACATTTAAATGAGCAAAAATAAAATAAAAAACTTACTGTAAAATTTTGTTTCTTGCTTCGATGAATGGTCTCTCACCAAAAAGGCCTATGACATCATTCGGGGTTATACGGAGAACCGATGCAGAGTCTGACACTGAGGCGCTGTCTGAAATTTCTTGCTTTTCGTCAGCATATGCTAATTTCAAGAACCCGTAATCCATATCCTTAGAGCACTTCTTGATCAATTCGATCTTAGTTGTACCTTTATTACATTGGAGCTGTGGAGATGAAATTACTAAATCAGCCAATGCATAAGCACATCCTTCTTCGTTTCTTGATTCCTTCGAGTGTTCATTTTGATGGGTTGAGATTGAATTCATCGAGACCTTTTTTTGGTTTTTTCGATGATTCGGGGGATCCGAAATTCTTAGCTCAAAATCTCGTAACGAAGTGTCCAAATTTAATCCAGTAGAACGAGAATGGTGTCTATTCACTGAGTGAGAAATTTCTGGCCACTGGGAAAAACAACAAATCTACGGTCATTAAAACGAAACTAATTGATCATAATCATGAAAATTACTTCAAACAAACATTATATCTTTATCAGCATTTTAAAAAGTGGCAAAAAAAGATGTAAACGATTATCTTTTCACGAAGAAAACAACATATACCAACTACAAGAACCTCACACCATGAACCATCCTTGCCATTTTCAGAATTCAAACTCGAGATCTCACGTAAAATTCATACATAGTCCAAATCGATATTCACATGAACATAATTCAAGAAGAACATTCGATAGATAAAAGACGAAAAAAGTCCTCTTAAAGTACCAATAGCAATACATCACAACCCTACTTACTTTGCCACCACGACCACTGCTTGGCCGAATAGACAGCATTTTCATTGAATTGGAATTCAACCCCTTGTACGGTTCACATACAGCCATTTTATTCCTCGGAGGTGCCCTTTGTCCACCCTTATCTGCATCACTGATATGCAGTCTGGGAAACAGAAGATCCACTGTTGATTTTTCTACATCTTTCCCATTTTCCATCCTCCTCCGAATTTTCAGAGCTGCAATTGATTAAATAAATTCCACTCGTTCTCGTCGAAAATTCAAATTCAAATTCTATCTCATTTCCAAGAATGCCAAAACCAAAAGCTCAAACAGAAAATAACAGACAATATATGGAAACCTACTACTCCGATCACCCCACCTCAAAACAAACAAACAATTCTAAACCCAGAAACATAACGTACGCAGTCGCCCTCGAAAGAGCTCAAATAAATTTAACGTAAGAATTAGATCTCAGACAGAAAATAACGTAAAATCAAATAACAAACAGTTGGTGGGCAAATACTTTGTTCAAAGAAAAAAGAAAATGTCGGCATGAAATATCACGTACTGAAAGAGAGAGAAAGAGATAGATAGAGATAGATAGAGAGAGAGAGAGAGAGAGAAGAGAGGTGGTTAAGTGCTTAAGTCACAAGCAGATGGAGGAGAAAGATATGAACGTGTGTGAATATATAGAGATTTCAAAGAGCGAAAAAGAAGGGTCGCGTCAGCAATATATGGGACACAGATTGCCACTCGGTCCTGAAAATCGATTGGTTTTAGAAAGAGAAACTAACTCCGGTTTTTTTTCTTTTTCTTTTTTTCTTTTTTTTTCTTATTATTATTAGGGTAAATTATTGAGATAGGATAAAATTATGAAAAACCCCCTCTTGTTTGGGTAATTATAACAATCCCCCTTAACTATAAATTTTTCTTACACGTCAACCCTTGTGGTTTCAAATTTAGTAGAATTTGCGAGATTATATGGAATATTATCATTTTTGTACCCGTTTTATCCCATTCGAGCTCCATATTTTGAAGCAAGATGATCATAAGATGTGTTTTTTGGCTTGTATATATCAGATTGTGGTGCATCAAAAACTGTATTTCTACACAAAACGAGTACAAACTAGAGAACATTTCACGGAATCTAGATGATTATATTAAATTTGACACCATGAGTGTGGAAATGTTAATGTAATTATCCAAACAAGAGGGGATTTTTTTGTAAATTAACCATGCCTCGGGAGTGGTTGTAATTTACTATAAATTTATTTTGTTTTTAGTTAGAGAAAGAAACAAGAAAGGCATGGGCAGTGAGACCGAGTCTCTCCTTGCGAATTTACTGGTGGGTGTGTGCTTATAAGCCACTTGTTCGATAGCATTATTATATTTTGGCCTATCTTTGTGACGAAGTATCTGATATCAAAATATCACAATCCTTTTAATCCTATATATATACATATACATACATACGTGTGTGTGTGTGTATATATATATATATATAATTACAATGTGACGACATTCTTGAGACTACATTAAAGATCTTTTTTTTTCAAAGTGTATTTTTAGTTATTAATTATAATTTGTAAATATATGTCAAAGGTATACTTTAGAGTGCACAAAATAGTTGGGTTTGTGACGACCAGGTCAAATTGACATTTTTATTGAGCTCGTGTAAATAGTTTAGATTGGATTTCATTAATGGTTATGACACAACTTTATCATGTTTAATAGGCTCAAAATTTGGTCAAAATCTTAACAATAAGTATTACTAATATATACATCATATTCTCCATCGTAAGAGGTACGTTACGTTTTATTTGCACACAATACATGCTCAGGCACACACGTTTAATGCATCAACTTAAGATCGTTTTCTCTATTTTATTTTACTCTTTTTCTTTTAACTATTTTCCTAACTAATTTGAGCGTTGGAGTGTTCCACCCAGAGTTCAAGCCCGAAATTTCAGAGAATGGAGCATTTTTCAGGCGACTGTGAATCAGGGAAAGTATTCGAGAAAAGCCAATTTTGTGAATGTTGAATCGACCTCCATCATATCCATTTTCAAGTTCTCGTAAAGATATGCATCTTATACAATACAAAATTTAGAGCTCATTTTTATTTTTCTCAAATAAAATTCATCTATTAATTAATCATGGTCTATCTAAAAACTATCAACAAAGTAAATGACATGTATTAAATTGAAAGAAATATTCATTGATTTATGCTGGATGATTGATTACTTGTAACTATCAGTGTTCTAAAAATCGGCCAAGGCGGCCGATTAATCGGTCTCCGAGGTGGAGGCAGTCCAAAACCTTTACGATTTTAGTGTAAAGGTTTGAAAAATCAATTTTTTGCCTGTGAGGCGGCTTTAAGGGGGTCAAACTCGATGGCAAAAATCTGTCAAAAATCGGTTAAAATCGGTTTTTTTTTTTAATTTTTTTTTTATAATTCAAAATAAAAGTTGGATTTTAATAAAAGAAAATATGAGTTTATGCCTTATTTTGTTTATGTTAATTTTTGTTGTTAAAGAATTAATGATGTATGCCAGGAATGTTCAAGAATAAATGTAAATTCAAAAAAATTATTTTTTTATTTATATTTTATAAGGATATTTATGTATTATGATCTTATAATTATTAAACTTTTATTATATCTTTTTATATAACTATGTTTAAATATCTTTTTATATAACTATGTTTATATATTTGGAGTATTTATAAATAATATTTAGAAATATATTATATTAAATTTTAAAAACCGATTTATCACCGATTAATCACCGCCGCACCGATTAATCGTGAGTCGGTGTTTGACCGACTTGGATCCGATTACCGCTTTTTACAACCTTGGTCTGTTACCCCCTTAATCGGTGATATCGGTAATGACTCGAGTGTGGCCGAGTCATGACCGATAAATGGTGCCAAGTGGGGATTGGCACAAGGCAGCCACACAACCGGCCAATGAGTGATCGAGTGTTCGGCAAGCATTTGGGGTTCTTGGCCGAGAAAAGCAAGGATCGGCTTGATTCAAGTGGGAACGGTGATCGAGAGTACTAGTAGCTGGCACGGGCGTTGCTCGGCAGCGAATGCGGACAAGCGTGGGCAATAATCGGCATGTGGCCGATAACGTGGGCAAACGAACGTTCGAGGGAAATCGACCACGACTTGATAAGTGTGGGCAAATTGGGAAGGCAAGCAAGGCAGCCCGATGAGCGGGCGTGCCGATGACCGTGTGGGCAAAGAACTGGCAAGTAATCGGTAAAGGCAAGCAAACGTGCGGAAAAGGCAAGGCAGATGGGCTGTCTAGCAACCGGCCGGGCTGTTTGGGCCGTTCGGCGCGCACGGGCGCGCCCGGTCAAGTTGGGCTTCGAAAATCAGCCTTAGGGGCGGATTTGAGAGCAGTTATGGAGCGGTTGAGGCCTGGAAATGCATGAAAACTGCCCCTCATTACTTGTAATAGTTAGCCAAGTGTCATGTTTGTATGCTGCCATGTGTCCTTAGGTAGTTTTATGTGAAAACTACATTTTCCTTGTATTTATTTGGCTATGAGTGCACAAATCCGAGGGATCTAGCATATGAGAGTTCAGATTGCAATTGTTGGGCAATTCTGAGTGAGGATTTTGTGTGTGCACCTTAGTCTCCTTTGTATTCGTTGTGGAAATTAATATAAAGGTTGGGCATTGCCCGTAAACGTGCTTGTGTGTTTGATTTCCGCTGCATACTCTTGTATTCGTTTACGTGGCTGAAAAGACTTGTGTTTTTGCGTGTTTGTGCGAAGAAAATCGTGAGGAAGACTGACTGATTTGGTGGGCAAATCAGGCCGTACGGGCAGAAAATTTCGGTGATAAATTAACCCCTGTAACAGTAAATATAATGAAGAAATGAACCCCATAATTGTTTACATATATATAATATATATATCCTTTCATTTTTCTATATGACCCGAACCGTATGCCCATATCCGTAGTAGGACTATTTTCAAGAGAAGTCAACAAATAGCGTGGCCCATAACTTGGCAAAGTGGGCTTTAAGGAAATCCATGCCACAATTGACAACTCTTACATTTGATCATGTTTTATAATTATTTATTATGACACAAAATATCTTGAAATTTGATTTTAATTATGCTAATTGATCGAGCTATAATTGATCGATTTGATTTGATTTTCAATCTTAAAACACATGAAGCATTTTAACTATTCTTACATCAAATTGCGAAATCTCTCGCCCTTGGGACCCTCATTCACTGGTCCGACAGATTTTTTTACGAAGGAATGTAAATCGTGGTAATTCAACGACCCGTTAAGGTAGTAAACTTGGACCTGGTGCTCGCGAGAAACTAACTTTTATTGGAGTTGAATTTCCACACTGCGGCTGCCAATACTCGATCCTAAGACTTTTGCACCAATTTACCAATATATTATTGATTATACTCCCTCCGTCACAATTTAAATGTCGTTTTGAATTGTTTCACACATTATAGGAAAATCAAGGAATCGTGCACCGAATATAGTAACAAAAAAATATATAGAAAGTCACTAAAATACCCTTGATATTAATTGTTTCCCAAGGATACATTAAAAATAATGCCACTAATGTTTCATTGAAAATCTGAAACGACAAATAATTCGGGGCAAAAAAAAATGTCTAAAGAGATAAATAATACGAGACAGAGAAAGTAGTAATCAGTAATTATGATGAAAGAAAAAATCACAAAAATTACATTAATTACTCATTAGTATTACTATTATTGAGTGTGACACAAAAAGAAATGAAAACTAAGTTAAATTTACCAAATTGCCCTTGGCATTGCAAAAATAACTTCAATAAAAAATGGACCAAATTGTAAGCTAAGGCGTACGCATAGAATAAATAAATAATGCAATCTTTGTAATTGTACCTAATTTGAAAAATTTCAGTGGAGAGACAAACAAACACACACACATCAGCTTCTCCTAGGTTCTTCCACACACACACACATATATATATACACACACTGAAATACACACACATACTCATTCAATTTCCTCTCCCACAACACTCGGGCATCTCTCAAAAATCCCTTTCTATCATTTGTTTCAGTTTCATGGAATTGGTATTCAAAACAAACAAACCCATCAATGCTGCATTTTTTTCATTTCTTTCTTGTTTTTTCAGTTGAAGAAAATAAAAAAAATTAATAAATAAGCAGCCCAAAGAAAGGCGTGTGATTAAGCCAAGAAATCAGTTTCATTGTTTGGAAGAAACTCGAACGTTTCCTTTGAATGAAATGAACCATTAAATTTCGTTTCTTGACCATTTTCATTTCGTGCCAATTTATTACCTCATAAAAACATCTCCAATTCCCATCTCTCTTGCGTTTTGTTTTGTTTTCTTTTGCCAAGAAAAAAAAGTAAAAATCAGCTGCGGAATCTTGCCTCTGAATCCGGTTTTTCGCCCTATTTTTTCAAGATTAGGTTTTTTTTTTTCTCGGAGTGCTGTTTTTATGTGCGGAGCTTCTCATTTTGGTAAGGTATTTTTTTTCTAATTGCGTGATCTTTGGTTATGATTTTTTTTATTTTTTGTTGTTTTATTTTTCTTGTTACCTTATTTTCTCAGAAGGGTTTCTGTAATATGTTGTGATCTTGTTGATATTTTTGCAATAAAGTGAAGTTCTTGATTTTTCTTGATTTTCTTGATTATGATATGCTTGAACCTCACTGCATTTTAGTTTTTTTTTATTTGTGTATAAAATTGATTAAAATTTCTGATCTTGTTTTTTTTTTTTTTTTGTGTGATAATTTTTCGTAGTAGTTAGAAATTAACTGAGGCTCGAGTTAGAAATGCAACCGAGGGTCGGGAGTTTCGGTTCGTTAGAGGAAGGCAAAGAACCGATGGTTAGAACAATAAGCCAATCGAACCGGCCTTTCCCGCTACGACTGCTTCAGTTTCTATTGCTTCTGTTGGGATTAGGGATACTCTTCTCGTTTCTCAGTATGTACGCGAGCCGTTTCCTTAAGGTGCAGAGCGAAATTTCCGTCGTCCAATCAAGATTCCAACCGTGCATTCAAGATAAAAACACTATAGCTAGTTGGATCAAACCGCCCGCGAACATTTTGCATGAAATGAACGACACCGAGTTATTTTGGCGGGGTTCGTTTGTGCCGCAGATTAAAGAGTACCCTTTTAAGAGAACACCGAAGATCGCGTTCATGTTCTTGACGCGGGGCCCGTTGCCTATGGCGCCTCTGTGGGAGAGGTTCTTTAACGGGAATGAGAAGCTTTATTCGATTTACGTTCACTCTTTACCGTCTTATCAGCCGGATTTTCCGTCTTCGTCGGTTTTTTACGGCAGGCAAATTCCAAGCCAGGTAATGAACTCAACGTATTTTTCATGTTTAGATTATGCTGGATTTTATGCTTGATTTTTTTATATGATATATTTGGTTACTGAAGATTTTTCGCTTCGGTAATTTGTGTTCCTTCTTTTCATGACCAACTTATGTTATGATTTGTGAATGTTTCTCATGTTGCAAGCCGTAGCTTTTGTTTGCCACTAAATTCTTGACGAGTTAAACTATCTTAATTTCATTTCTTGATTTGGTAAATGTAAAAAAAAATCGCGTCTTGATTTCTGGCTTTATGCGCTACGATATTACTACTGTAAGAAAAAAATCTTTAAAGTTAAAACGGTAAATGGATGTTATGAAAAATCCAAAATGGGAAAAGATTTGGGATTCGATTCCTTCATCGATATATTGGGTAGGAGAAGAGTTCAATTATTCACTTATCTCTATTTTATATACACGATCAAAAGTTTATCCTAAGCTGCAATGCTTTTACGTAGTTCTTGATTGTATTTGTATCATTAAAATTAATTTTACTGGACTTCGTTTACGTAGTCTATGTTAAATACGTTTCTTTTGCTAATTAGTGTTTAATGCTCTGCTAAAGTGGTAATTCTTGAATGAAATGAACCAACGAAAGCATGCATGTTTTTGTAGGCACGTATCGAAGTCGAGATTTCTTGCACTTTTCGGTATAGATGTGTTGCTCTAGAAATAATTAATCTCGTTTTCTTTTTTGCCTCGTTTCACAGGTTGCAGAGTGGGGAATGATGAGCATGTGCGACGCAGAAAGACGCCTCCTAGCGAACGCACTCCTCGACATCTCCAACGAATTCTTCGTCTTATTATCCGAAGCATGCATACCTCTCCAAAACTTCAGCATAATCTACCGTTACATTTCGAGATCCCGTTACAGCTTCATTGGCTCGTTCGACGAGGACGGGCCCTACGGGAGGGGCCGCTACGACGAACGCATGTCACCCACCGTCAATCTGACAGACTGGCGAAAAGGGTCGCAGTGGTTCGAAATCAACCGAAAACTGGCTGTCGACATTGTTCGCGACAGCCTTTACTACCCGAAATTCGAGCAGTTCTGTAGACCAGCTTGCTATGTGGACGAGCACTATTTCCCGACTATGCTGAGTATTGAGTCGCCTGAGTTGTTGGCCAATCGGACGCTGACGTGGGTTGACTGGTCAAGAGGTGGGGCCCACCCTGCTACTTTCGGTAAGGGCGATATAAATGAGGAGTTTTTTAAGAGGATCTTTAACAGTGGGGAGTGTTTTTACAACAATCAGCCTACTTCTCTTTGCTACATGTTTGCTAGGAAGTTTGCTCCTAATGCTTTGGATCATTTGTTGGAATATTCTTCCAAATTCTTCGGCTTTTGACTCGAGATTTTAATTACCGTTTTTTTTTTTTTGGTTACGAGAATTTAAGATAGGCGTAGGATGTACGCGCATTGCGTATGTCGTATAGCACAGAGTTTTCGAGTATTAGATTTTCGTGTAATAGAACAGTGTTTTGATCTTTCTCTTATTGTAATGATGCCATAATTTTAGTAAATGAGAAATATTGAGATTGTTTTCTTATAGCAATATTATATTACAAAACGCAGAATTTGTCCCGAAAACCAAAATAAACGGGACAAATATTCAAATTTCTTAAATAAACGGACAAGATAATCTTCCTAAAAACAGACGAACGAACATTTACAATAAACTTGCCAAGGTTGCACGATCTTGCCACCGCCTTTTATTTTTTTTTCAAGAACGCAAAAATTATTCATAAAAACATCAACCAAATCAAAGTTCGTCATGCGCGCGATATCCACTATAAGTGGAACCCGCCTTGTGGCTATCGAAAAGATACCGTACAACCATCGATGCATGAAGTGCAGCTCCAAAAGGAAGCCCATCTTCGTTGATTCTGAAATACGGCGAGTGTGCATGAGCGGGCTTTTCTGCGGTTTCGTCTTTCATACCTAGTAAAAAGAAATAACCCGGAATTTTTTCTTGATAAAACGAAAAATCTTCCGAGCCCATTAAAGGCTGCATTTCTTTAACTCCGGAAATACTGAGCATATCCCCCGCGACTCTTTGGAAGAGCTTGTGCAGGTCTTTGTCGTTGACCGTCGGTGGAAAGAAAATTTTGTCTTTTGATTCGAAACTAACACTCGCGTTGCATCTTTGTACAGCGGCTTGTCCTATAATAACCTGTGAATTAACGATCAAGCTTTAATTATATGCTATTATTACGATGGGTAAGAAAATACGAAAAAAGCGAGAATTTTTTAAAGAAAATAAATGTGGATGAATGAGTTGGTTTTAACATGTTTAATTACCTCTTTAATTCGTTGCTTAAGTTGCAGAAAGCTCTCGTTTGAAAAAGCTCGGAAAGTTCCACCGATGGTAACAGAATCGGGGATGACATTAAATGCACCGCCTCCGTGGAATTTAGCTACTGTGAGTACCTGTTTTCGACACAATCGAAAAATTATTCCCGAGATAAAGAAAAACCGAAATTACAAAACGAATAAAATGTTTTGTACCTGAGAATCGAGAGGGTCAGCTTCTCGAGAAACGAGTTGTTGTAAGCTCACAATTACATTTGAAGCAGCTAAAATCGGATCTATCGACTGTTGAGGAATGGCTGCATGGCCCCCTTTACCACTTATTACAGCCTCGAAAAAGCCGCTGCCAGCTAATATAGGACCGGATCTCGATGAAACTTCGCCCAATGGCAACAAAGTATCTACATGAATACCAAAGATTGCTTCGACTTTCTCGAGCGCTCCATCTTCTATCATCTTTTTCGCCCCTCCATATCCTTCCTCTGCTGGTTGGAAAAATAAAACTACAGTCCCCTGTAAAAATAACCCAAATAATCGAGAGAATTTACGATACTGATATAGATTGATACATATCGGCATTCAATTTCCTGATGCAATTACTACATGTCACATTCCAAAATAGAAATAATCGAAGACCCTAATAAATGCAACTTTACGAGTTCAATAGACGATGTTGTAATACAACCCTATACAAGAATCGAAACAAATCAAACTAGTGTTTCTTGATATCTCTACGTAGTACTAGTTCTTGTAAATTTAAGACGATAAAAACCCGAATTTAAACTATTCAATTGAACGTAGAAATATATAGCGATGAATCATCAATAGCATCAACATAAACGACGATAAGCGACCGAATTAAATAGACCTTTAAAAGATGCCGATTCTCTTGAAGTATTTTCGCAGCACCGAGAAGCATTGCAACATGTGCATCATGCCCACAAGCATGCATTTTCCCATCATTCTTACTCTTGTGATCCCACTCCACCATTTCCTGTCGAAAAACGAAAATGCAGCTTAAAAAAGTCGAAAATCTAAATAATCTGATCAGTACAATGAAACAAAAAAAAATGCAAGAAATATCAAACACCTGAACCAAAACATCTACCTCAAAACCTCAAATTCCTAACATCAAACATTTAATACCTCAAAAATTTTGTGATTCATGAAACAAATTAAACAAAAAATCGAAGAGTACTTGTAATAGAAGGGCATCCATATCAGCCCTAATTGCAACGAACGGGGGTTCGCCTGAGCCGATGAACCCTAGCACACCGGTAACCGCAAGTGGGTACTTGTACGGAATCCCCATTTGATCCAATTCTTGTCTGATAAGTTTACTGGTTTCAAATTCTTCATAGCCCAGTTCAGGATTCTCGTGAATTTTTCTTCTAACGCCCACCATCCAATCAAAGATTTCAGCTTTTCGGGCGAAGCTGAGGAAATTTCTGGGGATCTCCGACAGCTCCTCCGGCGACAAATCCGATTCCGATGAAATGGGTTTGCTTAGAAACAAGAACAGAACGAAAACCCACAGAATTGCTGCCGAGTGAGTCATGAGTTGATGATGTTTGTGTGTGTGTGTGTGTGTGTGTTTTGATTATGTATGTATGTATATATTTATTATCAGTGGCTTTGGTAGTGTGCAGGAGAGACGTATTGGAAGTGGCGAGTTGTGAATATAGAAAATATAAATGTATGTAGTGTTTATAATGTGTGTAAATTAGTGGGGCCCACTTTGATGTAGATTGATTTTTTAATAAAATAATTAATTTTCTGTCTAATGATTGTTATTAATTACTACAAAATAGGGGAAATTTAATCAAGATTCCCTCACTAGCCTTACTAATTTAAGAACTATGTTAATGTGGTCGTGCGGATGTTACGCTCAGTGAAATACGCTGGATAATTTGAAATCATAAATTTGTTTATAATAACAAACAGTCATGTAAATATATGCTTAATGGATAATTAATTTTATAGATCTACGGATAGATTCATATGTGCTTAGTGGGTAACTAATTTTATAGATCTACGATTTAACCGGACGAATAGATTCCTCAAAAAGATTGGGTCATGAAATAGAGAAGATTTACAAAACCTTTTAAACCATAAATCTGTTTATAATAACAAACACCCATGTAAATGTGTACTTAGTGGGTAATTAATTTTATAGATCTACGATTTAACCGGACAAATAGATTCCTCAGTAGGATTGAGTCTTGAAATAAAGAGGATTGACAAAACCGTCACACCCTACCATACAAAACGACGACGTATTGTTTTTTATTATGTAGTATAATAAACTAATAATATATAATAAGTGAATAAAGTATATCTTCCGTGCCAAAACTTATATTTATAATTTATTTTATTTTAAATCTTGCCTTATAAAACTTTGAATTCAGATTACTCTTGACATTTATATTTGACATAATTCACGTTGATACCAATTTAAGATTTTACGTAACGGTGAAAATCCACATGTCTGGTTTGACGCGACGTGGGTCGGTTAGAACCCGAAGGCTTATGACTCGATCACACCCCTAGAATATGCCAATAAACGGATACCATCTTTCAAAAATCATCGATACAACAGTTGTGAATGTTTCAAATAATTAACTCAAAAAAAAAAAAAAAAAAAAAAGCTCTCATCTCTCTCAGCACCACCACCAATAACATTACTCTAATTCTCATCGGCTGAATCATTCAATGTACGTAAGCTTCGATTTCATACAAATACCGTATTTTGGTGGTACTTCTCTGTGCTGCATTAACAACTGTATCAAATTCTGTTGCTTCATTGCTTCTCCTTGACGAAGGGGCATACCCGTCTTACTTTTCAGCCAGGTAGTGCTCCAGCATGTCTTCTTCGTCATCTGCACCATCTTTAACCATTTTAGAGAGAGAAACATATATATATATATATATATATATATATATATATATATATATATATATATATATATATATATATATATATATATATATATAGAGAGAGAGAGAGAGAGAGAGAGAGAGAGAGAGAGAGAGAGATGCTTAGACCTTCAAAGTCTTCATCATCATCGAAATCAATATCTTCGACCTCTTCATCAGAGCCCTCAGCAACGAGCGCTGCACTTTTCTGCACGGGAAGGAACGAATACACCAAAGAGTTTACTGACTAACATACTTTTTTACCAGTATTCAATTAAGCAAATGAAATTTCAGTAGCATTGGTTAAAGAAATGGAAAACGAAACCTCCTAAAAGTCTTGTCAAGCTAATACGTAACATTCTTACTCACTCAACATATGAATGGATAAGCTTAATGTCAGCTTAAGTGTTACTTCACTTAACTATTCAGTGCCAGCTAATTTGAGCCTTAATCTAATTATTTTCCCGTCTAAAATCTTTAAGCCTTAATTCCTATATATATATATATATATATATATATATATATATATATATATATATATATACACACACAAACACGCATATTGAACCAGTTAAATAGCGATGAGTGTATTTTGATTTCGGGATGTAAAATTGACAAATCGTAATAGAAGAAGAATGAGGGTGAAGAAGTACCGAGGAAGCTCTTCCACTTTCAAACCACTGTCTGCCTGTAAGTTTTTTCTCCTTTGTTGCACTAAGTGCTGAATCCGGCATTAGCCTAAAAAAATTGAACACCAAAATCGATCATCAACTATTATCAAGAAACCATTATCTTCACATTCTTGAGTGCATTAGCAAATATGAATTCTTTACTTTCTAGTCAAAAAAGTTATCTTCTGATTTATTATTGCGTTGGCTACAATCATAGCTGCAGCCATATTTTACGCGATAAGTTACCACCAAAATTCAGATTTGAATGAGTTAAAGAACTAGCAAAGAAGTTGAATAGTGAAACTCACTTGGCTCTTTCAAGTGCTAATTCTGCTTCGAATCTCTCCCTCCATGCCAAGAATGTATCAACGGTGACCGGTTCTCCATGTGGTATAATAATCTGAAAAGACAACGGTCATCCAACAATTTCAGTTGAACATTTAAGGTAAAATTTCTAGGTCGATCGATATAAAAAAATTCAACAACTTTTTTTGTCATCATTTTGAATTATTTTTTTCCGTATTTTTTTTCAGCATCACGTTAGAAGAAGTAAGCATATCCAAAAAATGAAAACCTCGTCTTTTGCAGCCTTATCTTCCTCAGCATCTTCATCACCGTCATCCTGAGAAAATTTCTCGGAAAGCCATTCCTTAGCTGTTGCAACTAACGTGTACATCATTGCCATCCCCAGATTTTCAGTTGCCTGTCACACATTACAAACACTTATTTACATTTCCGAACATTAGAAAAAATTATTTACTAAAAGGAGTTAGTTACCTCTTGTTCAAGCTTTTCTTTCAGAATTTTAAGATCGCTTGTTTGAATTCCTTTCAAACTGAAAACACAAAATAATGAAGCTTCAGATGCACAAGAGTTCGAAAGCAAGTGCGTGAAGGAAATCGGCAAAGTACGCTTGCACTATAAACTAAAAAATATTTTAACAGTAGGACAAAATTTTCTGAATCAACTCATAAAGCAGCAAGAAGAAATTACGTCACATTTATTGATCATACGGTGGACAAAAAAGGTTGTCCAAAACAGACATCTAAAACATGGCCTAGAATATGGTAGAAGTAACCTTGTCACGTTGATAAGTGGAGGTTCGTCGGGATAATTTTCCGTATGCGAGAATATCAATCCCAATAGAACTGCAAGAAAAACGAGCACCGTAAGATAAATATCAACGGCTAAACAGAGTTTTTGAGAAGAACAAAAATTGCACAGACTCTAAAACCTGGTAAATTATTTGAATCATCTGCATCATCATCCTGTTAGGAAAAAAAAAATACGACGAGGGTTATGATTAAGTAAAAGCAAACATATATACTCAATCTTCCGGCTTAAAAAAATATGTTTACCTCGGGAGAAATGGTTATCATGAAGCAACGGTTCGAAGTGTTTATCCCACTTTCACTGGAATGAATTTCTGGTACAATGAATCCACTAGAATTGATTAAGTTGGTAGGGTTTCGGTACTCGACGAAACTGATTAAAAAACTAAAGATAAGCATGTGAATTTCAAGAATTACAAACCTTTGAATTCATCCATAAGAATGGCTTCCAAAGCTTCGATTTCCATGTCCTGCTCCTGCTTATAGTCTGTGCAGCGCATTGTCAAAAACCAAGACGAATATAATCGAAAACTAGACTCAGTACACACTATACAGTATAACCAGCTAGTACAAAAACTAAACTGATAATTCTATACAAAGGCATCGAATTAAATTTCTCGAAAACAAAAAACCAGAAGCATTTTATTGAAAAGTGAATTTTACAGATACAGTATTCCCATACAGGCGCCAACAAAACGTAATTAAGCAACATACGAAAAAAATTCATCCACGTTTAGTAACCCTTCGAGATTGACTCAAATTCGCATTGCGTAATCTCAATCAACAAGAAACTCCATTCAGTGGATCAATCTCGAAAACAAAAGCCAGAAGCATTTTATCGAAAAATGAATTTTATAGATAACTCATCCAAGTTTAGTAAAAACTTCAAGATTGACTCGAATTTGCATTGCGTAATCTCAATCAATCTCAATCAAACACGTAATTCCGTCGTTCAGTGGATCAGTTTTCATAACATTCTTATTAGGATCAATTTATTCTATCCAGCCTTGCCCACAACTACTTCTCGTACCATTTAATCATATTCGCAAACTCCGTAAAAATCAGAACAAAAAGAAAGCACAGATAAAAACCCAAATTAAGGACCCAGTAAATTGTTTGTTATTCCTAAATCAATTGTCGGCCATAGAATTGTTTGCCTAACATCATTACATTAGCTCATACGTTATGTAACGACGACAAAGTTTGAATCTTTCGACAGAATCAAAACTAATTGCTCAGTAAACGTCGAGAGAAGAACTTGACTGAAATTACTAAGAACAGACGGAACCCTAACGATTAAATCTTCGATGAATAAACAAAATCAAAACGAATTTAAACTTGGTAGAAACAATACCAGTCATGGCTGCTTCGTTAATCCTTCCCGTTCGATGATTTTTCCCCAAATTGAAGAGAGAGGAGATAGTGAAGTTCAGAAAAGGGGAAAACCTAATTAGCACCAGTGTGGGACCCAGTGCTCTGTTTTTTCTTTTTTTTTTTATCTGCTGTAATCGGTCACACAACGCCACTGTTGCAACAACAGGGCACAATTAATCACAGCCGTTAAATTAGTATTCTTGATGGAATTTTTTTATTTGGGGCTTCTTTTATGGGTTAATTATATTTTACACCCCTAAAGTATACCCTTTGTAACACTTACCCCTTAAAGTATTATTTGTAGCACTTATCCCTTTCAAGCACAATTTAGTTTGTATTTTAAAATTTTCCTTTTTATTGAAAGGATTAACTAAAATAATAATTAAATTATATAAATAAAATTATCTGTTGAAAAATGCAATATTTAAAAATTTAAAAATGTTATATTGTTGGGTGCATATTTAATAAATAACATCTAGTTGTTGTTGGACCAATTAATAGAATATATTTACATAAATCAATAAGTACTAATAGTAATCTTAAGTATTTAAATTTATTTTAATTCATTAATCTTTTCAAATATATTTACATTCATTATTATAAAATATAAATTACTTTTTAATTAATTTTCAATAATTTAATTTTAATGACTTATTAATTTTATATGATACAGTAATTATTAGATTGTTATTTCTATTATATTTTAAATTTTAAAATATAAAATAATTAATGTTTAGGGGATAAATTTTACATGAGCTATATTTCCCATCTTTTCTTGATTGTTTTGAAGAATGAAAAATAAAAATTGCACCTTTAAATATGCATGGAGGACAGGTGTAGAAATACTGAGGTACTGCTTGTCGTGCCTGATTACAACCACGAACCACCTTTCTATTCTATTTTTCCTATTTTCTATTTAATAATATAGATACCTAAAATTAATTAAATAATAAATTCAGGCAAATAGTAAAAAAAAGGAACAAGCAGATGCATCAAGTTGAAGCTGCTGCACAATCATCCACTGCACCATGCACATTCACCTAAAACACATGAAATAAATTGTTAAAAATAAGTTATATATATACATACAGTCCAACGTCTATAAATTAATACAGTCAGGATCAGGAAAATTCTATTAATTTAGAGATTGAGAGAAACTATTATATATATACGTGTTCAAATGTTCAAAGTCCGATTTACACAGGCTGAGAAAATATTATACATTTTTTTCGTGAAAATGAATTTACACGCATGCACCACAAACCCTAGGTTTTTTGGATCTGATTTTGGGCTTGTCATCATATAATTGGGCTTGTTATCAATTCTTGAACCTTAGTTTATTAGTTACTAGTATTCACCCGTGCGATGCACGGGGCGACATATTTTTAACTAAAAATACATGTCTCAAAAACAAATTTATGCATATATCAATTATTACGGTCACTGAATTTAAGTACATAACGTAATCGACCAACGATAATAAAAATATGTTATAAGTGTCATGTTCTTCATAGTTATAATATAAGAATACTATTAAATATTAGTATATCGTCAAAAATAAATCTTAAAGATAATAAGAATTGCACCGAGCACCCTAGGGAAATGACTGAAAATAACATCGCACCGGGGAAAATATATAGATAAGAAACACCTGCACAAGAATAAGTTCTTTAAAAAAAAAACATGTCACATGAATAACTGATAAATATGAAAATATTTTCTACCTTCAAATTCGATGAAATACTTCATTGTACACGACATTTCTAGTAACATTGGTGAGTTCACCCGAATCCGACTTGATGAATATCTTAATGCCACATCTGCTCTTAACTCTGGACAGTGCAACATATAGTTGACCTGACTGAAGACAGGCCTAGGAAGATACAAACCAACATGCGAAAGAGTTTGGCCTTGACTTTTATTTATCGTCATTGCAAAAGAAACAATCAGCGGAAATTGTCATCTCTGAAATTTAATTGGCAGTTTGGAGTTAGATGGTATTAAAGTCATCCGAGGAATGAACACCATGTCACCGATATTTTTACCGGAAAGAATTTTGCAATTCAGAACGTGAATGCCGGTTCTAATAATTTGAAGTCTGGTACCGTTGCACAATTCTCTAGCTTGATCGATGTTTCTTATTAGCATAACGGGTGCACCAACCTTGATCTTCAACGCATGATCTTCTGCATTATCCTCCGTTATTTGCTCGTCCCTACACATATTATCTGACCTCAGGTACACCTTCTCCTCTCCTGAAAGGAGAGACATTAAGTGATCGTTCACAGACTCGACGCATTCATTAGTTGGTGCAAGAATTTCCCTCCCTTGATAATAATTTACATGCATGCACCACAAACCCTAGGTTTTTTGGATCTGATTTTGGGCTTGTCATCATATAATTGGGCTTGTTATCAATTCTTGAACCTTAGTTTATTAGTTATAATATTTCTGGGTAAATTGCATCCTGCCCCCGACGGAATGTAAAATTATGAAATACCGTTCATTTTTACATAATTACAGTCGGCCATCAACTATGTATTTATTATATTTACTAAAAAATCCCTTCAGTTGATAAATTCAAGGGCGTTCATTCAGTAAAAATTGTACCGAAATTTTGGTACTCATATCGTTTAACGTTCGATTATGTAAATTACCAAATTACTGATTTTTTATTAAAAATATTTCAAATTTTGATTTTTTTTGTTTAATTAAAGTTCACTTTATCTACTTGTATTATACGCAATGTATAAAGACCATTTTAAACTTCAAAATGAACCAAAACAGCACATCCATTTGACATAAACCGTAAAAAAAGTAGTTGTTTCGGTTCATTTTAAAAGTTTAGGGGAGTAATTTATAAATTGGGTATAATTTAAATTTTACCCAAATAAAAATTGCACCTACAAATATGCATGGAGGACAAGTGTAGCAATAGAAATACCGATTACAACACCTTTTTTTATTTTATTTTTCCTATTTTTATTTAATAATATAGATACCTAAAATTAATTAAATAATAAATAATAAATTCAAGAAAAATCCCTCTCTCTCTCTCTCTCTCTCTCTTCTTCTCTCTCGTAATGCTTCTCTGTGTTTATAGAGGACTTCTCTGTACCTTCTTCGATCCCATATTTTAAACAGCACAACTCTCTCTCTCTTCTCTTTCTCTCTCTACTGCATGTCTCGTCATCCATTTCACACAGTACACACAAAAACACGCACATGGATTTCTCTCCAGTCTATTGTACTTTATGCGCATAAAAAAGCTGATAGTTTGGTAGCAAAGTCCAAACCGCTTGAAGAAACTATGGAAGAGGTTAGAAGCTTTCCCCCACGAATTAATGGCTTCTGAAAAAAGGAATATTCTTCGCAGAAAATCCCTAACCAGATCTACCGCTCTCCGCCGCCGCCGCGCTCCTCTGTGTTTTCAATTTCGGTTTCGCGATCTGATTTAGGTATCTGAAGGCACGTGCGCGCCGCTGCAGGAGGGTTGAGATTTTTTTTTTTTGGAAAAAAAAAATTAGGGCTTTCTAATTTTTTTTTTTAATTTCATTTTTATTCGGAAGAGAGAGAATCCCTTTTTTTCATTTTGGTGGTTTCTGTATGGGGAGTTGTGAAGAGGAGGCCAACAATGGCATTGACCCGACGGTGGGTGGGTTGGTTTGGGTCCGCCGCAGAAACGGGTCGTGGTGGCCGGGTCGGATTCTTGGGCCGGATGAACTCCCTGAGGGGTGTGTGCCTACACCGAGATCAGGAACCCCTGTTAAGCTCCTTGGCAGAGAAGATGCTAGTGTGTATGTATCTATCTATCTATCTCTGTTATTTATAATTAATTTGTTTATTTCCTCGATCATCTTGTTTAATAACGAGTGGTTCAGTGGTGCATAGTTTTCGATGGAAATTAAAGAATGTTCGTGGGATCCAATTTTTGAATTTATGTTGTTGTCTTTTGAGGTTGTGTGTTCATTGATGTGTGCAGTTTGTCGTGTGAAACATGTTTCTTTTAGTTTATTTCGTTATCGATTTCAGTTCTTGATCTTTGGTAGATCATAGTTATCGCTAAAACCTAAATGCAAATGATGAATGTGGTGCCCACAAAATTCCGATTTTTGAGGAAGGTGTGGTTCTGGTTGATAGGCAAGTTGAGGCATTTGTTAAATTGAATTGAATTGAGTCTTGCTTCAAAATGTTTGTGCTACGAGATCGAATGTCGTATGTCAGTAATTTTTTTCGATGCTGATCCTGTTCATTTACGCATTCTCTCAGTGACTGGTACAATCTGGAGAAATCGAAACGAGTGAAAGCTTTTCGCTGTGGCGAATATGATGACTGCATCGAAAAAGCAAAGGCGTGCGCTTCTTCTCTTCCCTCGAAGAAGGCAGTTAAATACGCTCGAAGAGAAGACGCCATTCTTCACGCACTCACTATTGAAAATGCCCGTCTCGGAAAAGACACGCAGAACGAGCAGCAAGAACACCACCCGAACGAAGATTCACCGCCTTCTTCATTACAACATCCTAATCAAGAAAGCAAAGCCATAGACAATGCTTCGAGCAGCAGATCAGAAGTCGAATCGGATTCGGGCCCGGATCTGGCCCGTTCCGGAGTCTCGTTCGAGGATCCGGGTCAAGTCGACCGGGTTGAAAACGGGTCGAAGCGGTGGAGAACTCCGAACGATTCTGAGGAAGACGGGACCGAAGGAGTGAAGAAGCGAATGAGAGGGCTCGAAGACTTGGGAATGAATGTGAAGACATCATCTAAAGTTGGCCATGCTAATGAGTTCTTGAATAAAAGGAAGAATCGAAGACGAGCTTTGGCCAAAGTGTTGGAGTCTACACCTGCAGTGTGTGTTCCCGTTTCTTGCGAGGAGCTATCCAGTCCAAATGAGAGCAAGGTTTCTGGATTGGAATCGAAGCAATCAAATATTAATGGCTCATTAGTGATGAACAATAACTCAGATAGTACTACTGGAGTTTCGTACGAGAATGGATTATCGCTGAATATATCTACGCACGAAGAAGATGCTTCCCTCGTATCAAAATCGAGGGAGAATGAGATTTCGAGCATGCCTGAAATTCCCGAGAATGAATCTTCCGGAAGGTTGTTCGATGTGCCTCTTTTAGCTGAAGACAAGCACTTTACGAAAGGTATAATCTCATAAGAGACAGTTTTACGTATTTCGCTACTGAGTTTTATTGTGTTTTACTTAGGCATATTTTTTTTGGCTTGCAGGTTTATCATTGGGAAACGAGGAGCACAATGAGACGTGTTCGACTAGCTCCGATTTCCATAATAACCTCAGCCAGAAGTTAGAGAAATCCACTTCCGAATGGCAGTTAAAAGGGAAGAGAAATTCGAGGCCGAGGAAAATCGAAGTTGACAACGAGGCTCAAACACTTTTGGCGGCAACAGCCATTAGTGGGGACCACCACTTTCTTACAGGCTCGAGCCCAAATAGCGGGCCCCACAAAATCGAGGCCGAGGAATTTCGTGGATGGAGCTGGAACGCCCCTCGTGGGGATTCCCAGAGACCTCTACCGTACCGTCAGTCCCGTTTCACGGTCAACCCAAAGTACGACTCCTCTGACTTTTCTCTCGGCCCCCACCACAGCAATGCTGCCGGGGCCGCCTTGTATGAAGTCAAAGTCAGTGTGGAGGTCAAGACCGGGGGCTCCAATCGTCCGCAGCACGTACCTTATATTTCACTCATGAGCAAGTCGAATGGCCGGCCGATCGTGGGCCACCCCCTCTCGATCGAGGTTTTGAGTGACGGTCATATCCTCGAGTGTTACAGCAGCAGCTCCGAGCCTGCGCGCAGCAACCTTAAATATGTATCCGGTTCTCGAGGTGGTGCTGACGTGGCATGTGGAAGGAAGCCACGTGGCAGCCCAGCCGTTAGGAGTCGCTCTTTGGCAAAATCTCGAAAATCAAAACGGAACGGACTGTTGTCGAAGAAGATCCGGAAGCTGTCCTCGCTGAGTGGGCCCCACGGAGAAAGCCATCAACAGTATAAGACAAAAACGGGTGTGGAGAAGGTGTCGAAGGGTCCTTCGGTAGCTTGTGTTCCGCTTAATGTGGTATTCAGTCGGATTAACGCTGCGTTAAACAGCTCGATCAGACATGCTCCTCGTTTTTCTTGAGTTGTTTCTTTGGTCAAAATGAAAGTATAATCGGTTTTACCGGCACTGTGAATTCTGTCCTGAAGGTAAAAGAAAAAGGCTTTTGTAAATGATAAGTACTTTTGACAATTTACTATGGAAGTGTTACTGAGCATTAATCTGATATTAAGCTGCTGCTTTGGATGTATATATACAATACTGTAAAATTTAGTTCAGACTTTTGATAATCTGATAATGAACTTTGTTGATTAATTGATTAATATATTAATTAATTGTTGACTGTTACAACTTTCAAGAATCATGGGATTTTACATATGTTCATAGTTTTCGGTTGCTTCGAGTTCGGGTGTAAATGAATTGAGTCGATTATAATATCTTTTCAAGTACAAATTTGTGTTCAAGATTAGTTTCTTAATCTAAACTGATTCCTGTTCGAACCGATTTTTGTATATTATTAAAATTGTGTTCGATTTTAGTTTTTTAATCAAAATCGAGCACGAGAAAGAATGATAATGTATTGGTTCAATTAAATTTATTCTACATTTTCATTACTTTCTCACATTCAATTTGATTTGATTATTGTATGTAATATCTTTGATACATAATCAATACTTCCAATTAATTTGAAATAAATAGTTTTATTTTATATTTTCATTTTACACTAAAGAATTTATAAATGATTCTCAAAAAAAGAAAAAAGGAAGAAAAAAAAAGGCATATATATATATATATATGAGTGGGGGCATTATCGTCATTGACTCACCTCTAGGGTTTCAAAATCCCCGCATATAGTTCATTAGCTCCATCCCCAAATTCCAACCCTCAGTCTGCAAGCCGTCTATCAACAAAAGCTCAAATCTCTCTTAAGGTAATTCTTCTTCACTCTGTAATCCGTCTATCTATATACACTTGCATACATTACGATCCGGCGCTATATATAAATATATTTAATTGGGTGAATTAGGGTTTGTTCGTGTTAGAAATGGCGACAGTTCCAGGGCAGCTGATATGGGAGATCGTGAAGAAGAACAATTCATTTTTGGTGAAGCAATTCGGTAATGGAACCGCCGGCATTAAGTTCAGCAAGGAGCCTAACAATCTCTACAACGTCCACTCCTACAAGCACTCTGGTTCGTTTCTCACTCTTGTGTTTTTTCGCCCCCTTTTTTTTTATAATCTAAACATCGATTTGCTTATTTGCTGTTGTAATTTGGGCATCGTGTTAGTTGTTTGTGAAGCTAAAAATTTCGTCTTTACTTTTTTTTTCATTATTTTTTTTTAATTGTATTTTATTCTTTCTTGGTTGGATTGTGCAGAAAGTGTTGGTATTGGATTGTATTTCATTTTTATTAGCTGTGAAATGGCCTGAAGTTATGTGGAATAAGTGATTCATGGTATACTTGTATTTTCTTTCAACTGTGGGTTTATGAATTACAAGTTTGATTTTTCTTGTACCCGTGCCAGAGTTGTTCTTTCGACATGCTTGTTTTAATCGTCTTTTTTCTTGAATTGAAGTTCTATGGAACAAGTGATTCATGGTATACTTGTATTTTCTTTCTACTATCTGTTTGTGAATTACGAGGTTGATGTTGCTTGTACCTGTGCCGTAGAGTTGCTGGTTCAACAGGCTTGTTTAATCGTCTTTTTTTTCTTGAATTTACATCATTATGAATGGAACTAAAGTTATAGGATGCTTCCGTAAATATATAATTGTTTATTTGGGCATCAACTCGATTCGTGGTATACTTGTATTGTCTTTCTACTACAGTTTTGTGATTATACGAGTCTGGTTTTTCTAATGCTCGTGGTTCAACAGATTTGTTTCATTGACATCATTATGAACGAAATTGAATCTATAGGATGCTTCCGTATATATATAATTGTTTATTTTTGCATCAACCCTGCTTCATGGTATACTTGTACTGTCTTTCTACTACAGTTTTGTGAATATACGATTCTGGTTTTTCTAATGCTCGCGGTTCAAAAGATTTGTTTACTTGATTTACATCACTATGAAAAAAATTGAATTTATTGGATGCTTCGGTTAATATAGATCTGTTTTTTGGTGCATCAACCTGATTTATACTATGTGACATCTCGAATTAATTCTTAATGAATTGTTACTAATAGGTTTGGCAAACAAGAAAACCGTAACCATTCAACCTGGAAAGGATCAGTCGGTGCTTCTTGCAACTACAAAGACAAAGAAACAGAACAAGCCGTCCGCCTTGCTGAACAAGTCTCTCATGAAGAAAGAATTCCACCGCATGGCCAAGGCTGTATCAAATCAGGTACAGAGATTCTCTATTCGTATAATCTGCGACGATCATTTATTTCAATGCTTAATAATTAAAGAACTCGTGAATGAAATCTTGTGACTAAATTGTTGAACCAAATTAGTCTGTTTCGTGCTCGGGTTTCTCTCCTTGATTGGTCTGGGTATTTTATTTAAGAAACTATAAACCTTTTCTATCTGTAGTTTCCATATTTGACTCGTATGGTTTTATTCGATTTGTTATGGAAAAGGCGACGAACTGTATATTTTGAATTGATGTTGACCTATAGTCGGATCATATTTTCATATAGGTATATATATATTTGCTATTGAAATGATGATATTTCAATTATCGATATTTAAAAAAATTATTTCGTGCATGCAGGTGTGTGATAACTATTACAGGCCCGATTTGAAGAAGGCAGCACTTGCAAGATTAAGTGTTGTGAATAGAAGCCTCAAGGTTGTTAAGTCTGGTTTGAAGAAGAAGAACAGGCAGTGAAGAAGCAATATGGTTTAGTTAGTTTGCACTGCTATTTCATTTCTGTTGGTACACTTTCGTAATAGAAAAGACTCGAGTATTTTGCATCTGCATTTTCGCCAAAATTTTGCATTAGTCGAAGTTGTAATGGTATCTTTTATGGACCCGAATTGTCGTGATTTACTTCCGTTCTCTTTTTGGTGGATTCCTTTATTACTTGTCCGTTTCGAGTCCAATAACTTGATGAACAAGCAACGCGTCGTGTTGGGGAGACTTTCCTTGCAGGAAAAAATTCCGAATTTTATAAAAGTCAAAGTTTAATTTTATTAAGAAACACCGTGAAAGGTCGTGTTCGTCTCCATGTTGCAACTAGAAGACTTGTAAACATAAAATAGTGCATTCCACAAATGCATAACATGTATTGAAATGGGAAGTGGATTATGTCAAAATTAGAGTTCTAAAACATCATTATAACAACTAAACGACATCGTTTTACAGGGTGTAAATATTTGAATAAGATGGAAAAAAGTCAAAGTCAATACAATTCGATACTACACGCATAAACAACACCACCCCAATATTCTCTTATAAATACATGACTTGGGGCCAAAAATAAATTATTGTACTTACTGCATCAAATGGAGGAGTCTTCGTCGTCTAAAGAAGACGACGCTCAAACAAGAAAAAACACCACGATTTGTGATAATAACGAATATGATGAAGAAAATAACAGCACGAAGAAAAGGCGTTCGAACAGGTGTTTCTCGTTCATGGAGATATCCATAGATCCGGGTGTGAAATCTCTCAAGCAGTTGGATTCGAACAAGTTCAAAGATGGGATCAAGAAATGGGCTAAAGCTGTGGTGACGTATGCCCGCCAGGTCAGCATTCGTATTGGGAGTTCCCGTAAAACAGGTTCTGATGAATGAAGCCCGGTTTGCTCTCAATCATCAAGATAGTTTCTTGAAGTACAAATGTATGTCCAACGATTTTTAAATGTATAGATTCTTGAAAAGATTCTTTTAGCATCATCAAAATCAGAGAAGAATGATAATACAATCGCACAATTCAGGGCTCGTTGTATCGAGTTATATGCTCATGTATTACAAGCGATTTGTTATCGATATTTAGGTACGATATTATACATTAGAAGTCGTGATTCATTTTCATCTTAAGATTTGCCAAAAAATAAAAAAAAATATTGCATTTCCCTGTGATAAGCCCTACACGAATGCCTTGACCACTCGCTAAAAAATGTCCAATTACGATATAGTCCTCGTACAAAACTTTTCATACTACAACACAGCAGCTCTTATAAACAGCTATATATATGTAAAACACAACTCATCAAACAGAAGCATAACACTACACAAGAAAAAATTTAATGGTATCTTCGAACTCACCGAGGCTAAAAAGGAAATTTTACAATCAACTCTTGGAAAATCGAACAAAACTTGCGTGAAAAACGGTACTCAATTATGGGACTTTACTCGTTCTTTTTAATTTCTCGGAACCATTTGTCGTCGCCCGAAATACTCCTCAAGAGTCGCTTGGAGCACATCTCCTCTGCTTGAGTTGCATTCTTTCTCCGAGCAGCTCTCACCCATGCAGGCTCCTAATTAAACGGGCACATTTAAATTTCCACATTTTTTTTTACTAATTATAGAGTTTACTGCATTTACTACCCTTGTATTATATCGTATTGCTAAAAAAAAATCCGCGTATTATAAATATAACAAAAAGACCGTACGATGCATTTTTTTTTTGTTCACAACCCCCTAAATAATAACTTTTTAGGGGTTGTTCGATAAAAAAAAAATTGCATCTTTACTAATATTTATAACACGGGTTTTTTTTTAACAATTGAGTAAACACAGTGGTGCTGAATGCAATAAATTAATATTCTATAAATAGATTTTCGTCGTACCTCCGGTACAATGCGAGAGAATCCAAATTTAATGAACAAAAGCACATGTTCCATTATTAAAATTGCTGCAAGCCCAGGCGATAAGCTCCATTTCCCTTCACGGTCATATAAACATGCCAACAGTGCGCTGTTCGTACAAATCGACATCACTATAAGAAACTGAAATTCAGACACAAATCGCCACATCAGAAAAAAATAAATTGAAATAATGTTATATATTTCATAATTTTGATCGAATAAATAACAGAAAAAGGAGTATTAGACCTGAAAAATGTTCATCCATGCTCCAATTGTTGCATCGGCACGAGGTATCGGCCTTCTCATCGTTGCAAGCAATTTCAATGCATCTGCTCTAATCTCCGTTATGTTATTCTGCACGTAAAACAGAGAATAAAATAAAAAATTACATTTATAAAAAGAATCATTTTTTTTATTTTAGGAAAGAAAAAAAGTAGTACCACTGCTGCAAAAGCGAATGCGAGAGGGAACGCACAAGCAAACATCATTATCATTCCGAACTGCAAAACCAGCTCCAGAAAATCTGCCGACAGTTGAATTATTTTTAATCCTATGAAGATAAAACAATTTTTTTTAAAATAGTAAGATATAAAAGGTCAAATATTACCATCAAAAAGTCCATCTTCGATTTCCTGACCAATACTTGCAGCATAAGCAGGTTTAAGATAATCCTTCTCTACTCTAGGAATCGGACTCGATTTTCCCGACCCTTTTTCACGCTTTTGCTTATTCCTTCAGAATTAAGCAGCTCGTTTTTTTAGAGGCATACGCAATCGAGTAAAATAACAAATGAATTACGGCAGACTAAAATGCTGATATTCATACAGGAAATAGTATACCTCACAGCTCTAAATTTCTTGAAGCTGTACGACAAATACGGTATAGAGTTTTCCAATAAATTCTCAATCACCTAAAAATATTTACAAGAGACAATAATAAATAACATTTTCAAGTACGAAAAACGAAAGGCGATTAAATTTATTATGTACCTCGGATATTAGTAGACGTTGGATCAAAACTTGGCGAAGGGTCATGACATTCCGATGCAAAAGAGCATGATAGAATATTCCGATATACGATTGCATGAAATAAAGTCCGAAAACCTGCAAAAAGAAATAAAAAAAATCAATTTACAGAAATTATAATATTTATAAAACTATGCAGATTGTGAAAGCCTTTCGTTTTAGTACCTTGTATACTAAGCTGTTTGCTCTGTGTTCGACATTTTCATTGTTCTCGTATTTAATAAGCTTCACCGAAACCTTTCCGCCCATTCTCGTGAAATACTGAATCGCTAGGAGATAAACCGCCGTCAAACAAAACCTGAAAAAAATAACGATTTTTTAAATAAAGTTATTTACCAAGAAAATTAGATTAAAAAAAACGGAGATTTTTTTTATAATGGGAGTGCTTACTTGAGAAGATCGGAGCGTATAACTTCGTAAAGATGAGCGTAAGCCAATTCAAACGGTAGCTGTAAACATATAATACTCATTATAATAAATGCGTCGTTTCTAAATCTCATTAGCCATCTAAACCACTCTTCTCTTTGGAAATTCGCCTTTTCCTTCGTTCGGTCCGAGGTTTGTTTCTTCATTAGTTCTGTAGGAGTACATTCCGACGAGCTTTGATCTGTCTGAAAAGATTTATATTCGGATTCCGCATCAGCTGAATGATATATCTGCAACCTGCATTATATATATTACGGGACCGAAGAAGAATATCTCAATAAATTCGGTCGAATAATGTAGCAAAAAGATTGCTTTTTTGAAAAATAAAACAGAGGAAACGAATTTACCTAGCTGACATGGCTGAGTTTTTTCGTTTCCAAAACTGGAAAAACAAGACGGCCCATGATATTACACATATAAAGAAAAACGGGAGAACCAGCAACTGCATTGATCTATTTAAAAAAAAAGAAAAAAAAAAAGGAAAGTCAGCTGATTGCAATTAGAAAAGCTGAACGAAAATCGAAGACAAAGTTCAAGATTTTACCCGAAATCCACTAACTGCACTGTAAGTCCTAATGCAGCTGGAAATACCATCCACTTTGTGAACATTCCGAGAAATGCAAAATAGGTTGCAATCTACACGATATATTGTGTATATATAAAGATTTCAATAATTCTACGAAAAAATCAAAACAAGGGATAACGAAATTTATTAATAAATTATTAAGCAATTACCTTCACCCCGTAATAGGAACATATATCGTCGATTGGCTGTGATGTGAAGTCCAACCAGTTCATCGCCCAGCTTCTTAGAAGCTGCTTCCGCTTCTTCTCGTCTAAATAATATATAAATTGTGGTTTTCGATGCCGGGATTTATTAATAAAAAAATCGGCAATTACAATGATATAAGAACAACACAGTACCGTGCAATGGAAATACTTCTTTGACGACACCTATTGCTTCCAATTTCGCTACTAGAGATTCTCCCGACTTCCAATCGATCGTTCTATCTTCGTATTTCAAGATTACGGGTAGTTTTTCTGTGTTAACCTGCATAATAATATCGCATAACCAGCACATTTAGTAACGAAGCATAATGTAACATGTCCTAAATTCGAATAAACTACTAATGTAAAAGCTTTAACCACGCAAGAAATTAGTCGAGAAATTGACGATTTACAAAACAATCGACAGAAAAATAAAAGGCACTCACAATGCCATGTACGATGTGATTGTAGCATCGGAACCGTTCACACCAACTGAACAAGGAACCGTCGGGTAGCTTAACAAAAGCCTCCGCCTCGTCCCATTCAAACGGGAAATCCATTCCTTACAAAAACAATTATTACAAAGATTAAAGAATTTAAAAAGCTGTTTATTTCTTCAGAACCCAGAGCAGCCGAAAAACGCAATAAAAATACCTATATGAGTCCGTTTTCTAAATCGCAACTCGGCTGCGGCCTTTCCTAGAATTTCCAGTGGTGCTGCCAACTACATAAATCAAAATAATAAATTTTCACCACCATTTTTTTTCATGTCAAATTAAATCCAATTAAATCAAAATAATAACAAAAATGCCTTACAAGAATATCCAAGAAATTAAAAACATGGGATATATATATACATACATAATATATATATATACATATATATGTACCTTAACAAATTCATTTTGAAGGCCGACAACTCGCTCAACAATGAGCCCTTTTTTCTTGAGCTCATTAACAAGAATTCCGACACAATCATTGTCAAAATCACCAGTAATCTTGTCCAATTTGTTGTTGTTGTTTTCGCCCCATTTGGGAACAGCAATAGCTATCTCATAAACAACCCCACCTTCTTCCCCTTCATTCTCGCTCATTTCCAACAACACTATACACAAAATAAAAAAAAATTGAAATAACAACCAAATGGGTGCGTGTATTACAAACCCTTCTCAGCTAAAACACCGCCAGTGTGTGTGTGTATTCTCAAATCTGCATAAAGATTCGAGCTTTCGGTGAAAGTTTTGATTATCTACTCGATTCTTGATCAGGGGTGTCTTTGTTTTTGACGAACGGAGAAAGATGAGAGAGAAACAGAGAGACGGAGAGAGAGAGAAAGAGAGGAGAGAGAAACAGGTGTCTGTAGAAACGGGAACTGAGGAGAGAGGAGGTGTAGTTATAAAGTGACAAACAGCTATGGTGGGGAGAGGCTTACACGTGGCAGTGGAGGCCTGCTCTTTTTTTGGGTTTGCCTTTTCTTTTCTTTTCTGATAATTACTACAACAAATAAAATTGAATTAAATTAATTTGAGGCACGAGAAACAATGTACGCACAATGAGAGAAAAATGGTATCTTTCAATTATCAACCCCATACCACACTACTCATCGTTTTGCATTCTGCATAAAGATTTTTTCAGGGTTTGCAGAATCATGAAAATGAAGGATGAGAGAGAGAGAATTCAGATTAAATGAAAAAAGATGCTTTTACTGCTTGCTTACTCTGCTCAGCCGTTTTGCGTTACGTTTTGATGATGGGCAAAACAATTTGCAGGTGTGGAGAATATTTGTCTTGCATTTATTTATTTATTTAATGGGAATTAGAATGTTAGCATGTTGACAACCCTTTTTTTATTTTTTTTAATGCAAATTACACTGGACTAACTATGTGTAATAAGTTTGAACTAACGATCGATGATGGAAGAATTTGAATTTAAGGCAATCGGCACAAATTCACTTGCTTCAATCGTTTCGCCATCATTTGTCGGTCATTTCTAAAACTATATTATAGTATGATAATTGGTAAGGGTGGAAAAAATTACCAACTACTAATTTATTTATGTGACATACGTATCATAAGAAACTGCGTTTGTTCGCAAAAGTTAATCGAACGGAATGCCATATCCATTTAAATTAAGTTAATTGTTTATTTTTAAATTTAATTTTAAAGTCTTTCGATAATGAGTTTTTTGGTATATGATACGTGTGCCCGTCACTATCGTATCTGGTAACTAAAGTGTCAAATTATTGAAATATGAAGGATCAAATGTGGTTTTTGTAAATATATGGACAAAATATAAAATCGTTACAAACTTTTTGATGGATGAAAACTGTAAATTATTACTTGGGTAAATTACACTCACACCCCTGAGGTATGCTAAAATAACTTTGAGGTTCATGTGGTATCGATAATTACACTCACCCCCTGAAACATAGTTAGATAATGCATTGGATATGTATTCCAATAGAGTTCTAACGGACTATTAGTTTTAGGAAACGGTGAAAACAATAAAGAGTTATGAGTGATTTAAGAAATGTTGCGAAAGCCATGTCACCCCCTAACTCTATATTATCTCCACCACTAGCTAAAAGTAATAGTCTGTTAGAATCCTAATAGAATAACGTATCAAATGCATATCTCATTAGAGTTTCTAACTATGTTTCAGGGGTCAATTTAGTTATCGATACCACAAGGACCTTAAAGTTATTTTAGCATACCTCAGGGGTATGTGTGTAATTTATCCTTATTACTTAGTAAGGTTCCTTCGACCCTACATCGGTGAAAAACACCGGTGGGTCTTCTGCTGCCACGTGTTCTTTTTTTTATCTAAAATGATTTGTGCAGGCACAAATTAAACATTCAGGCACATTTTTTACCATTTCTCAAAAACCAAAAGGTAAAAAACTCAAAAAACTCTCTCTACCCTTTCGATTTTCTTTCGCAAAGCCCGTGCAAATCGTCAACAGATCGGAGGTAATTTTTACGTTTTTACGATCCTCATGTTATGTAGATTACGAATCCGAAAAAAACGAAAAAAAACCGTACTTGGGGACGCTCGCCCGATTTTACGCGAGCGCATCCACTTCGCTCGCGTAAAATTGGGCGAGCGTTTGAATTTTATTTATTTATTTATTTTTTATTTTTTTTTATAAATTTAACCGGCTTTTAAGTTGCTCGCGGT